AACTGCAGAAGCTTGAGTAGGCCAAGTCTTATCAGTACTTCTTATTTTTCACATATGGCACATTTTGCTCTTAAAGTATGAGAAATGAGCGTTTCTTCATATTCCTGGACTTTTCCCAGGCTGCACTGAACATGATTAAGGAACAATGAGTATATAAAAACCTAATAACAATAAAATTACCTTTATTTCTTTGTTAAATAATGTTTCCACCATGTGGGAGGAAACTACTCTTCCGGTTAGGCTGATGTTGGATCAGTTGCAATGTAAATGTTGAAGTCCAAGAAATGTAAGAGGGACAAGAAGAGAGACAAATATTGTAACGGTTATTTTCATTTGACTCTAAGGAAGTCTCAGAAACCATGTAAATGTTTTATATTTTCATGAAAACACATGGTTTATATTGCCCATAAAAATGCATCTTGAAAACAAATAAAAGCAATATGTTTGCATAAGAAAAGTTAATTTTAATTAGGCTGGTTACATACCTTTTAACAAAATTGGTGGCAAATTATGATAGCACTGCATGACTCTATAACTCATACATCTGAGAAATGTTGCCTTTCCTAATGGAAATGGAGTAAAATCTCGTTCCTTTACCATAAGTTGCACAGCATGTTGGATGAACAATCTAATGATTGTCTCCTGAGAATTCATTGTAAAACAGCTCCAGATTTGGTTTGGTGATCTCAGTGCTGGCTGAATAACACCAGCCTTCCAGTGCTCCAAGTGCTGACATGCGGGGTGAGCAGACTTTAGGATATTAAATGCCTTCTCTGTGATACTGAAGGAAATTGGTTTTTGGACTCCATTCATTCATGAAAAGACTGATGCTGAATGGAGTTTACATTTATTGTCTATGAAAACCCTGAGTTAGCTGAAATCTCTTCAAGCATGCACTCACACATGTATTCTCTCACATTTAGCAAACTCCCCATGATATAAAGTAGCTGGCTGCAGTCTTTCAGCCAGGAATAGACAACGTTAAAGGAGTTGGCTTGAAAAGTTGCATGCACGTTAACACCATCTCTTACATTTTACAAGAGACTGCATTCAAGCAGTCTTTATGCTTGGATTGTCTGGACACTGACAAAGTGGAAAGGAGCAGCAGAAAGAAAAAAGCCTTTCTGTCAGTCACTAACTTTGCATCAAATTCTCCCTCTCTGTATGCTGCCATTGCACAGAAAAAAAAAAAAAAAAAAAAAACAGTCAAAAATCAAAGTAGTGATAATTCCTTGTTTTTTTGTTTATATTATTCCTTATAAAAAACAACCCAAACCATTTTTTTTTTCTAAGACTACTGGTACACGTGTGCTATCTCCTGGTTTATTCACTTTTTTCTGAATTAATACTTTGAAAGATTTTAACTTTTTCTTCATCAACTGACTAGAATGAGTAAATGAAGTGTTTACGGTTGTGATAGCTCTTGTGACTTGGTACATGAAATTTTCCCAGATTTCTGTAGGAAATCTTACCTGCTCAGCTGAAAGCTTGCAAATGAGTGATAGTGCTAGTTGAAAAATAATTCTCTCATACATATATTTTCATGTCTGCAAAAGCAGGAGCTACAAGAAAAACTTTTCTTGCACCTACCCTCCCCAGTACTCTCTGAAACTTTATGTTTCTCATATTTTTTTCTTCTTTCATTCTTTTGCTTTCTTTTCTACATTTTTTTCCAGTGTAAGCACATGGGAATAAGTAAGAGGAGAAAGAGAGCTGGAGGGGGAGAGGGAGGAGGTGATAGAGTTTCACAGGGAGGTAAGGTTTCACTCCAACAAAAAGGCTCCTTAGATTCTGCATTAAATAGTAAAGCCTACATTAACACTCCACTGGTTTGTAGTGAATGAATGTATGTGCCAGCACTTGCACCTCTTACTCAGAGTACTTCAATAGCTTGCTCATCTCCATCTGAGTCTCTTGACAGGGGATTTCTCTCACAGCATCACCTTGTGTGTTATGTTCAGCCTCCTGAGTCTTGCTTCTTGTGCTCAGGTCCAAGAAGCATGTCCCTGACTCATCCCTCCAACTCAACACACTGCACTGGGCTACCCTTGTACTGACTGCATTGCAACAATCTCTAATCCTGCAGGTCCACTGCTCTCCTTGTGATTCTGCTGGGCTTCCTTGTATTTCTGAGGATCCAAAAGAACCCAGGAAAGCTTTACCTGTAGGTTGGCAAAAACAGCACAGAGTTATTCACTGATCACACAAAGTATGGACAACACCAAGCTGAGTGGCAAAGCTGGTATACTAGAAGGAGAGAAAGGATGCAATCCAGGGTGACATGAACATGCTTGAGAGTTGGACCTGTGGGCTTGTGCAAACCTCATGATGTTCAAAAAGGCCAAATGCTATGTTCTGCATCTGGACTGGAGCAATTCTAAGCACAAATACAGTCTAGACAGAGAACAGATTGAGGGCAGCTCTAAGAAGGACTTGGGAGTGTTGGTTCATAAGAAGCTCAACATGAGTTGTCAATGTGTGCTTGCAACCCAGAAGGCCAACTGTGGCCTGAGCTGCACCAAAGGAAGTATGGCCAGCAGATCAGTTAGGTGATTGCCCCTTCTGCTCTGCTTATGAGAGACCACTGGCAGTATTGCATCCAAGCCTGGGGCCCACAGCACAAGATGTGGAGCTGTTGGAGTGAGTCTGGAGGAGGACTACTAAGATACTCAGAGGGCTGGAGCACCTCACTTATGAGGAAAGGCTGAGGGAGCTGGGTTTGTTCAGCTCTGAGAAGGCTCCAGGGAGACCTCATTGTGGCCTACAGGAAAGCTGGAGAGAGACTTTTTACAAGGGCACTCATAGTGATAGGACATGAAATAAGAGAGTAGATTTAGGTTAGATACAAGGAAAAAATTCTTCACTCAGAGGATGGTGAGGCATTAGCACAGGCTGCCCAGAGAAGCTGTGAATGGCCCATCCCTGGAGGCATTCAAGGCCAGGTTGGATGGGGCTTTGATCTGGTGGTTAGCAGCTCTGTTCACAGCAGGGGGTTTGGAACTAGAGGATCTTTAAGGTGCTTTCCAACTCAAACTATTCTGTGATACTATGAAAGATGACTTGGACACCTTTTCACCCACTGTGGTCTCTGTGGGATCCCCTGGGGTCACTGCCAGTCCCAGGGATGGGCAACCTCAAGCCCCAGCACAAAACTGTATCTCCAGCCGCAGCTCTAAAGATTTGGTGTGTGTGGAGTGATCAGTATGTCTCAGAGAAATGTAGAAAGGTGAAAAGGGCGCCTTCAAATTGAGCTAGGGTTGAAAGGTAGTAGATGTGTGCTAACTGCAAGCAATATAGCTCAGGGAAATATATTAAAATGAAGATTGTTTTTCTGAAGAGGCTTGCAGAATAACTGACAGTATCTTCAAACTGTGGAAAATACCCTTCAACAGAAGGCAGGTTAGACTTAAGGAGAGGGTATCTAGGTGTCTCTGAACTGTCACAGACAACAGGGAGCTACTGCATAATTTTTCAAGTGTTAGCAGCAGAAGAATATGCTTTTTCTGAATCCCAGGACTTTGTCAAAACTAATTTCCTGCGTTGATGTTGGGGTAAAGCATACAAAATAGCCAGCCTGGCAGCTACCAGAAAAATGAGGATATTTGAAAAAGGATATGCTTTTTATTTACTCTAAGTGACGGATATTGGCTGAAATGTGAAAAGAAATAAGGGGAGAAAAATGTGCTTTGCTATACTTTTTTTTCTCTGTGCTGTGCATTTTCTGCCTGCCTACTTATATATTCTGGAGAAAGTATGCCTAGGAATTCAATTTTTTTTGAAGATTTTTTCTGTTGTCACTGCTTTTTCTTTGCAGTGCTAGTGTCTAGAGCACTGTGCCAAGCTACATGTAAGATTCACTGCACCTGTTCAGATTAAGGGTCCATGCAGATGGGTATCTGATTCCTTAGATCATCATCCTCAACTTCAGAAACCTTGATTTTGTGCCAAGATTCAGCTAGCATCAATAGCAAGGAGTTCAGTAGCATGAATATGTGAATTCAACATCGCAACTTACATCAGAAAACAGGAAAAATAATACCAGGTAACAGAGCTGACCTCTGAGGGCTGAGTCTAAATGTGGTGGTTCATCCTCTGTTTCCCTCTACCTGCACAGAAGTAGGCTCTTAACTTGTCTGCAATTAACACTACAAGAGATTATTACCCCAGGCCTTGGTAGTGCCCCATGAGGATGCTGAATATGAGATTACAAGAAAAATTAAAAAATGTAGAGCAAATTTTTCCAAAGTGTACATTCTCATTTTCCCCGTGTCAAAGACCTGAGCTTTGAGGCTGTCTTCATATACCATGTTAACTCCTCCACAACTTTCTCAGCTTTCTTAGCTCATTTATATTTTCAGCTACCCCAGCATCTGGCATCAAGATGTCTTACCCTTCAGTTCAGTATCGCATAAAAGAGCATTACTTTCGTTTTAAATGCACTATCTGATGAGTTCACTCCTGCTTTCCTGTGCTGTGATAACTATCGGCTCATTGTATCTGCTTTTCTGTCTAGTACATAGAGTTCCAGCAAAGAAAAAAAGGCCACACTGCCTTTACATGAAGGGAGCTCTTGCATGGTTGGCAGTGTCAGAAGTGAACAGTGAGTTAAGTGCCTTGCTCTGGAGGCAGACCTGAACAGCTCTAGCTGTACTTTTTGGCTTGTGGCTTTGTCTTCTGGTTGTTCTGTCCTGACGCAAAGGGCAAGAAAGAGAGCTTTCTTTCTCCTACTACCTCCATGCAGGCAGTTGTAACAGCTGGTCAGAGATCTGAGGCTGCTATAGGAAAAGGTAGGGCCTCCTTCTCTGGCCCTGGTAAGGAAGAACATGTCGTGAGCTTACCCAGAAGATTGCTATTTATTTTCAAGCAGGTTGTTGGGTTTGTTCGTTTTCAAAAATCAGCTTTTGAGTAGTGAACTTAATTTGATCCTCATCATAAGTAATTCTGAAGGATACCTGTGCTCGTAAGTGTGCTAATACCTCTCTTTCTCCTTCCTCCCATAGGATTTTAGATAATGGGCTGTGTGCAATGTAAGGACAAAGAGGCAACAAAACTGACTGACGAGAGGGATGGGAGTTTAACACAAAGCTCAGGCTACCGCTATGGCACAGATCCCACGCCACAGCACTATCCAAGCTTTGGTGTGACTTCAATTCCAAACTACAACAACTTCCATGCCACAGGAGGCCAAGGACTGACAGTGTTTGGTGGAGTCAATTCCTCCTCTCATACAGGGACGCTGCGTACAAGAGGAGGAACAGGTGAGTTTCAAAGTCTTGCTTTGGTGCACTTGTTAAGTATCAATCACATTGTCATGCCAGGGTCACAGCTGTCTTGGCATGCTTTGGGGAAAAGTTACCTCATTAATTACTGCAAAGATTGAACTTGGAGTGGAGCTGGTTCTTCATCACTACCTCACAGGTTTGCAGATGGTAGTTCACTTAGGGGATGAGAAATTATGTATACATGTCCAACTGACTACTTCATCCCTCTATCAGGGAATGGAAAGTGTGGTCTAAGCCACTTCAAGCGGTTAATAAGAAATTTTTCATGTCTACACTCTCTTCAAAACCCCCTTGCCTATTTGAAATGATTGCACTGTGTGTGGCCACCAAACCAAGAGGACTGCTAACTCTACAAACTGAAGGAGATGGTATGCCCACTGGCTGCATAAAAAACACGAGGATTAGCAGGAGGTGATAGCAAGAGGCTTCAGTTTATTTTGCTCCTCAGCACTTGAAATGGCTTACATTTGGCTTAGCCACCTGGCCTCCTGAGGCTCCTTTCCCTTCTGATTTTGGTGATGGAATGTAACTCACTTATCTTCCTCTTCAGGTGTAACTCTTTTTGTGGCGCTTTATGACTATGAAGCAAGGACAGAAGATGACTTAAGTTTTCACAAAGGAGAAAAATTTCAAATTCTTAACAGCTCGTAAGTTTTAGGCTTGGAAATATGCTTTTTAATATTTTGAAATTTACAATGTTGACAATTATTTGTCTACCTACATTATTTGTAAAATACAATGTTGGATATTCAAGATATGTAAGGATTTTATTCCGCTTATTTACTTGCCTTTGCTTTTAAAGTGTTTTATTTTAGAGAAACAAAAACTCAACCACATGCAGCTTTACTTCAAAAACAAATATTTGTTACACATTCAGAACTGAGAGTACCAGTTCTGAGCTTTACCAGAAGTAACAGAAATTCTACAAGACTTGTACTAGCACTTTCTACAAGCTGATGCAAGTGTCTGCACAGGAACAAGCTAAAAACCAATTCACAAAGGAGAAATTGCACAGACTTGCATGTCATCATAGGTTTAAAAGTCATAGTTCTTTTAAAGTAGGTGATATAATCTGAGCTTGCTAGTAAGTAAAATGAAAATGCATCACGGCACAGTTGCATTTCACATGAAAGCCACATTTTCATCCTGGAAATCATCGACTTAAAATTAATTTTATTAACTGTCCAGAGGAAAAAAAAATCCCAAAGCAATTTAAAAATAACATCTGAAACTTACTGTGCTATTGACCTATATCAGAACATCTTGTAATTTTTGGCTCAGAACTTAAATTTGAAGGCTAAGTATTACATTCAATATTGCTACCATGTACAGGCAGAAATGAGTTAACCACCAGTTTTTAGAGGCTTTTTGATATTTTTATCATTTTTATTTCTTATACTGTGTGACAGTGAGGCAAGTTCACCCCTGGTGCAGCTCCTGTTCATTTTAATAGAACAACTCCAAGGTTGGAGTTGGTTCAATGTGAATTAAACTTAAAAAAAAATAATTTTAAATCAGGTAATTCTGTGGAATATTTCATGAAGCCACGGAGCTGAAGAGCTTTGATGTAGATGAAAGCACAGAAACTTCAGTTACAACTTGTAGAGAGAGGAGCAGTTTAAAAAGCTCTCTACTTTTAAATTACCCCTTGGAAAAAAATCTTTTTTTACCTATTATCCCTTTTTTTTCATGTTGCCTGCTGCTTTCTCAATGTTATGTGAACTGTGCCTTAACTTGAAATGAGCAGATAATGCATGCATTATAAATTCTTTACACGTACCAGTTGATGAAACTAGGGGGTGCTCACAGGGACTTGTGATGCAATGACACTTGGAGTCAGTGGGACAGAGAGAATGCAGGTCGTTGCAGTGCAGGCATTTTGATGCAAGTACTTAGTGCCTGGAGGAAGGTTACTTAAGAGAAAAAAAGGAAAAAAGAAAAAAAATCAAGCATCTACTGACTTTCCTGTAGGGATTTAGATGCCCAGCTCAGCCTACTCTGCTTATAACCACTGGACCTAACCACGCCTCTGGAGTACTGACAGCAAGGCTGGGAATCTCCAGAGGACAGCTTTTCTGTGAGAATGCTTCATCTCTTCACTTCTATCAGAAAAAAACATGAAAGCAGCCTATTTCTTTAGAGTCTGCCACTGCTGCTTGCAACCAGGAAGCACAGAAGTGCACTAAACCAGTTTTTCAGGAATTTTTATAGGGGTCGGGTTTTTCGTAAGTCTGATCAAATGAAATTTGATTTGTGCTTTGGGTGAAAAGTTCAGGTCAGCAAGACCTGAACAGAGGCATACAGAGGGTACCCCTGCACTTTAGTGTCAGGAATGGTGCATTTCTGGAGTGGTTTGGAGCAGAGGCTGACTTCAGAGCCCAGAAACACCCCACTATCACCATCTCCACTGCCACTCCTGCACGCTGTGCTCTGACTAGCTCCATTGAGTATTCTTATCCTAACCTGGCCTTGTCAGGTGGGTGTCTAAAATTAGAAGCTGTGAAAAAAAAAGATAGTATTCTTCCTCCTTTCTGGCAGTGTTCTGAGAGATTTTAGGTTTCCCTGCCAAAGCAGAGAGGGGTGTTCTTGTTCTGATGTAGGGCATGTCTTTTTCCCTCCCTAGATACGATGAGATACCTCCATCTAGTGGACTGTCTGTGCAGTAAGGAAAAGAAGCGTGAGCTAGTGATAATGGTACAGTTCTGCCGGCTGTTTCTAACTGCTGTGAAGGAGCTGGACTGTTTATCAACCATCATATGGCATAATCTCTCAGAAATCAACTACAGCAGCATATGGTAGTAGTGTTAGCACTTCAGCTGGAAAAGCTAGGAACATAAACAGGGCCATTTGTCTGACAAGCTAATGCACATAATATGTATCAAAATGGTGACAGCTGCCAGCATCTAGAAGTTAGTTCTTATTCACTTCCTGAGCTGTAGAAATGGAACCATTATTTTTTGATCCATCACAACTGTTTTCTTGTTGTTTTCCATATTCTTTCAAGCTGTTAGAGAAAGTGGAGTTGAAAATGTAAAGAGCTCACCTTCACACAGCCTTTCCCGCCTACTTCTAATAGCTCAGTCAGTGTGATTTCTGTGACTGCTTGCTTACTGAAGAGGCTGAATTTTCTGTCCAAGCTTGATAAGTTCTGATTATGTTTCAATTAGTGACAGAGAGAGAAACTGAGAATTAGTTTCTAAGCAGTCCAAAAATAGAAAAGAGAATGTTTGTTTCTAGCAGTAAGAGTTAGATATTAGTGAATCTAGTGCTGAGAACTAAATAATACTAAGTGCTAAATTCCTAATCATTGCATCCTGTAAAATGCTAAGCAATAAATGTCTGTTAAAGCTGTGAGTTCTACAACAATGTGCAGTGTCTGAAGGACAGTTCTGTATCTGACTGTACACACAGTTTGTTTTAAGATATCTCCACTAGGTGACCAAGAGAAGGAACCTAAAGGATGAAGCGTTATCTTTAAGGACAGTCTAAAATTCCATGCTGATAGACGTTTTTTGATGTCTTGGAGTTTCAGATGGATTATGCTTGTGGAAGTTTGAATGCTATGTTAGAATCAGCAGTGGATATGACAGAGTTCTATTTGGCAGTTTTCCTATAAGCTCTCTCAAGGGTCTGTATTAGAATAATTGCTATGGAGACAGTTTTCAATACTCTAGTCCAAATTCAACCATAACCAAACCTGCCATTATGCTCTATTCAGAAGGCTGCATTACTAATCACTGCTGAAATAATAATAGGTGCAAAGAAATATGTAGATTTTTGTGGTTGATATGCAAGCAGCTCTCTCCAAAGTACACCCTGACACAGAGAGGAGCTGCTAAGAGTTCTACCACCTGCCAGTTCTGTTAGCAGTCAGATCACTGACCCTACAGCTCTGTCTCTCCCTCACTTTTCCTCACCTTTCTTTCTGCAGGGAAGGAGACTGGTGGGAGGCTCGGTCCCTGACAACAGGCGAAACTGGTTACATTCCCAGTAATTATGTGGCTCCAGTCGATTCCATCCAAGCAGAGGAGTATGTTTTCTTTTCACCATAAAGACCCATTAGTGCTGTTTTAGAAGGGGATTTGAGCTTGTTTTGATGGATTGCAGTGATTTTTCAAATGCCTTACATTATTTTTATTTCAGTTCTTGACTGCACTGATAAATAATTAGGTAATTAGTAACAAAAGAAGCACAAGCTCAGTGTTTTTTCAATGTCAAAACAAAGAAAGAAAACCTTAAGGAATGCTGGTCTGTTTCCTTTATTCAAGTGTCGACTAATTTCAAGAGAAATATGCCCTCACTTTTCCTGAAACAATTTGCAAAAAATGTTTGAAGTCAATTAGTGTGCAGACTATCTCTTAAACATTTTATCAACAAATACCTTCCAAAAGGTTGAAAGCCTACTAAGCATACAGTAGGCAGCATAATGAGACATTTATATGCAAAAAATAGAGTGATGTGTGTATCCATATTATTTCCAGTGTCAAAGGTATGTTGGTATCTCATGAGTCTGCATATGGCAGTGGCACAAAGCATGGTTTGTGGGCATTTATATGTCATCTGAATCAGTTCTGCAGAAGGCCATAGATTCTACTGTTGTGCTACTGCAGTCTGTACCCTTGGTTACTTTTTCTGTAGCCCACTGACATTTTTCTGATAACTGAGTTATAAGGATACCAAGTATCATCATCTGGAACAGCTTTGTCTTAATTGTTTGTGAAACTCCAACCAACCTACCTATCAACCAAAAAAAAGAAGAGAAAAAAAACCACCACAGAACAAATAAACAAAAAAAAAAAAAAAAATCCAACAGAAAAACTACCAATTAATTGTGGCAGGAAGGAAAAAGGTATTGAAACTGTGAAAGTCTTATAGAACCACAGTAAAATGGTTACAATTGGTCCTTCTGCTGAGGTTTTATAGCTGCACTGTGCAAAAAATATTGAATGCTGAACTGTCACTTTGTAAGTCAAATATGTAGTTTATGGAAATATCTATAAAAGTACAGTTCTTCAGCAGCAGTGCATTTTTCTGATTTCTTCCTTGCCCATTCCTTCCCCACACCAAGTCTTACTGCTTATCCAAATCTGGCCTTTGTCATAAGACACTGAACAAGTATTCTCAGCATGCGGTCATTGTAGGCTTAATGCTATTGCACAACATATGCAGCACCTACTCCACAGATCTGTCTCTTTACTGCCCCACCACAATGAAAGTACGACCAGTGGTTGAAAGTACGACGCATTACGACTATGGTGGTTGAATGCTCTTGAGTAATTATGGTATCCACAAATAATCTACCGTGTCTGAGCTCTGTGACACTAACTAGTAATCCTATGTAGCATTTCTCTTACGATTTCCAATCTTTCCATAAGGTGGTACTTTGGCAAACTTGGCCGAAAAGATGCTGAGAGGCAGCTGTTGTCATTTGGAAACCCAAGAGGTACCTTCCTGATCCGGGAAAGTGAAACTACCAAAGGTAAGCTGGCCAAAGTTTTTCTGACTATGAATGTGAAGGCATGTGAGGGGAAAAAAATCACGCTGAGTTTGTCAAATACTGTGTCCAGTGCTAAAAGAAAATGTCATGTTGCAAGTATGTATGCTAGGGAATTAGATGTCTGGAAAATTCCCAAGTTATGGAGCGAGTGCTTGAAGCAGAGAGCAACCCAAGAACATCTCATGCCAAGTTAAACCCATGGCACCTGCAGTTTAAGTCATGCTCAGGCAGGTGCTCTGCTGCTGCACTCTGAATGTCGTGCTGCCTCTCTGGCCACCTCCACAATGATGTTGGGTGGACACAGGTCCCTCAAAACACTGCTGTGGGATTTCAGGAAGAAGGGCTCCTGGTGTCCAAATTCAGGTCCAGACAGAGCCAGGGAACAGACAGACTAGGAATACAAGATGGGATTCAGCAGTGTAGTCTGGGGAAAATTACTGCTTCCTTCAAAACAAGCAGAATGTCTGGATCTTCTTGGCCACAAGATGTAAGGCACAGTGCGTGAGGGAGGAAGGTACTGGTTATTATTTTGGGAAGATCAGGATTTGTTGTAATCATTCCCCCATTAAATTGCTGAACCTTTGGGGGGGGAGGAAAAGAAGAAAGAAAGAAGATGCAGCAGTATTAAATCTATAGATAAACAGCAGGAATACCTGAATATTTCTAATTTAATAATACCTGATAATTTAATAATACCTTCTAACCTTCTAATACCTTCTAACTTTTAATAATACCTTCTAATTTAAATAATACCTGAGTATTTCTAATTAATACATTCAGAAAGTAATGAACTGTATGCATTCTGATGAATTCAAGTGGAAGGATGTGCTCTCCTCCTCTCCTCTAAAAATACTAGAGGTGTTCCTGTTTTCTTGGTGGGTGTTATCATTGTTTTTACATTTCGTTTGTGAGGCCCGTCAACATCTTCAAAATTTCCAATGTATGGAAAGATCTCTCTAACTCATACAACCACTGAGGAGAAAACATGCGACTAACTGAAAAAAAAACTTGGCCATTTCTCAATTAACCAGCAGCTGTGGAAAGCATAAGTCACTAGAATTAAGTTCTGAAGTCTAACAATGGCTCATGTAATTAAAACACTGAGTTGTCAGTGCTTTGATCTGAGCACAGTTCATCAGCTAGTGTTAGCATGCAAGGCAGTTGGAGTCACAGCTGGAAAAGGACTTAAGGAAGCACCACTTCCCCCTCTTCTCTGTCTGACCTAGCTTCAGGTGCTGCATTCTGTCACCTAAAGGTGTCAGTTTTAGCATTTTGCCTCCTGCAGTCACTGAACTCCTTCATAATACCTAATGCTGAGGACTGTTAATGATACAAAACAGGCTGTTGTTTCAGGCGGCTGATGTCCCATCCTGCCACTCCACAGCTTCACCATTCCTTATGCAGCAGCGAGGCACTAGAACCAAGACATGATTTAACTTGCTCTTTTTCTGCAAATAGCCTCCACCTGTCTGTTTTCAACAGCAGTTGTTGTTGTGTATGTGAGGAGCAGGGCTTCATTCCACTCTGTGCTGAGTTGAAGACTTCTCTAATACAGGCATGGATCCTAAAAACACACACAGCATTGCTTCTCTAAACCATGTTATCAGTTTAGTCTGTTTTGACTTTATTTACACAGTGATAGGGGATACGTTTTGCGAAACTGCTTACGTATCTAAGTCAGGATTTTTCCTACAGCTTTTAGTGAGGCACAAAAGCACTGAGGAAATGGAGTAATCCATCCATCATGGCTGGGCTTATAGCAGAATATCAGCTTATACCTGAATTTCTCTGCATTAAGGCTTAAGGCTTTCTATATCTTCAGCTACTGGAAGAAACACAGCATGGATATTTATTGTCATGCCTGTTTCCCTTCTCATCTTTGTAGAGCATATGTTCTTAAAAGAGAAAAAAGAAAGCTTGTTGTTAACGGGAGAAAAAAAATCAGCTGGGAGGAGTGCATGGCACATTCTCCAGTAAGTCTTCTCGAAGTGCCATGCCCCAGCTAGTCATCATGGGCTTCAGACAGGAATTGTTTGGTGACCTAGACTTGCCCCTTCTGCTTTAAATTACAACAAAATAAAATTAATCAGAATCATGTTAAAAGTATCATCGTGGTTGACTTCAGCATAAATTTAACCTCCCTTCATCATGATCGCCTTCTCTCCTTACTTCCAAAATAAATCAGAGTTGACTTTCTGTCTCCCTCAGTGCCTCACTACCCAGATAATTCATCAGCTCTTGTCCGTATAATCCTTCACCTGGTTTCAATCTCTACCCTTGAATACTGTCTGGCTTTAGGTTCATTTTTTTAAAAAGTTAATTAGTGTGATATATTGTAACGTATTTCTAGCCATATTTTTACTACGCATATCATTTATACTTTAATCTATCAGCTGATAATAATAGTCTAAATAATCAATAGTCTAAATAAGTGAATAATAAACTCTACCTTGGCTCTTGGTTTTGTCCAAATTTGAATTAAATCACCAGTCATGCAATTTGATCTGAGGTCAGCGGAGGTCCGCAGAGGGCCACCCACGCAGATCTAGTTGCAGACCTGGAGCCAAAGATTGTTTACTTTTTCCTAAAGAATCTAAAAGAGCAGCCAGATAGACAGAGAGTGTGACTAAGAAAATACAGCTGCTGCTGTATTTGTGGATGAAAACTCACAAATGCAGAAGTGGAGAACACTGCCTGTAAGATTTTGACAGTAGGCTGACAGTGCATAAGTAGCAGTGTTGGTGCAAAGCATGCACAAAATTAGCTTGCAAATCTCCCAAAAGCTTTGAACTCCTAGCTTGGAGTAATGTACTTACTCAGTGGGAGAATCTCTTCAGAAAAATAACCTAAACAGAAGGTATTTTTCTACACTTAGAAATAAGATTCCTGCCACTTCTCTTAGGGTTTCCCATTCACATAGAACAGAATCATCTCTGTACGTGCTGTCTCTTTCCTCCTGTTTAGAGGATAAACAGCAGAGAATTTGAGACGTCTTTGGAGTCAGAGTGGAGTTTTGTTCCCTACTGCAGCTGCATTCACTGGTGAGCCATTTACCAGTGTGACTTCTTGCAGTTTAATGTGGTGAGAATAATTTTAGAATCCCATAAAACTTCCTCTTGGGGAGACATCCAAGGAAGATATTTTTTTATCAGGAATCTCATCCATGTAATTACGGGAACTTTTAAAAACTATTTCTCTGGAGGTGATTCTAGAGGATGTGAATCTGTCATATGCATTGAGAAGTACTGTGATTTGGATAAGCAGCAGTCAGTGCCATCGGACCTGTAGGAAATCATTCTATCTTTCAGGGTATCCAGAATTGTCTGCTGATGATTTTCCTTCCCTGCCCTCAGCTGCAGTGATGACCTGTGCAAGCAGCCCAAGCTTCAGAAGGACTTTCCTAAGACCTCTGCAGCTACCATCTACCTCTATATTTTTATTCTGATCCCTGATTTACCTTTGAGTAAACACAGTATCCATCTGAGCGCTGAGTAGGAGACGTTGCTTCTTCACTCTATTTGAAATGGCATTGTTTTTGCCTAATACAGAAAACTGTATTAGGCTGTAAAGTGTGGCTTTGTCTTTGGAACTGTTGAGAAACAACATGTGGGTGTCACTGTTATCTGGAATAGGACAGTCCATGGACCAAAGTCTATTAAAACACTGGAACATGCAGATACCCATGCTGCTGGCCCAGCTCCCCTTACAGTAAGTGGGAGCTGGGGTTCAGTTCAGTTGCCTGTAACTGCAGGCACTTCTTGTTCAAACCTGCCTCAATATCTACAGAGCTGTAGCAGTCATGGAAACTGGGCTGGGATTCAGCTGCCTGAATAGCATCTTTGCTGGGAGTATGTAAATCAAGCCCATAGCACACCTGCAAACAGCTCCTGCTACGCCTAAAAGCAAATCCAGCCCCTAAACTGAGGTTCCTTTCCCTGGCTATGAGCACTTAAGGCCTTTTGAAATGCCTGCAGGGTGTCTGTATGGAATGGACAAGTGTGGATAAACTGCTACCAAGTGCGATGTTCTGGGGCATTTCACATGGCACTTCCCCTGTCTTTGGGCATCTGAATCCCACCAGTAAGCACTAAAGCTCCAGCATGGATTTGGGAAGTGAAATGTGCAATTCTTGAAGATCTTTTAGTGCACAGTGTTAGTGTAGTGCAACCTTCTTAAGGCTGTGATGTGCAAAGTATTGTTATTCAGTATTTGAGATCACCTGGGTAACAACACTTCCTGTATATAAAGTCACTGTCAGTGCTTCCTATGAAAATCTTGACATTTACCACCCACTGGCATTTACCTAAAGGACGGTATTTGCAGTGTAACCTGGCACTTAAATGGGAAAAGTCAATATAACAACCTAAATGTTAAAATATGAGTTTTCATTTGCATGGAAGGCCTGACTTCTTTCTAGAAGAGCACAAAAGGGACACTGTGTGAAGGCTGGAAGTTCTTTTTCAGTTCTTTTTCAGAGTACAAGAGGCATTTTTGATCCTTTTATAAAAGATGATCAGCAATCCAAAATTTGTGTCTAAAAGCTACTTATTTTTTTCTCCTTTCCTTGCAACAGGTGCCTATTCCCTGTCTATTCGTGACTGGGATGATATGAAAGGAGATCATGTCAAACATTACAAGATTCGTAAACTTGACAATGGTGGATATTATATCACAACTCGGGCACAATTTGAAACTCTTCAACAGCTGGTTCAGCATTATTCAGGTAACTTTCCGGATAACACATAGCACTCTTAATTACTTTAAAACAAGTGTTTGCTGCTGAGCTGAGGGATGTGTGAGATGCCCTGTAGAGTCGTTTGAGCTATGTCTTCTGCTTGTAATGCATCTTCCATTATCCCTTTCCCATTACAGTTATAAGTGGTTTTGAGCACTGTTCACAGCCTACTGAAAAGTGGCTGAACTTTTAAAAGCTAGCACTCTGCTGAGGTAAAGGTTTTGTCCGTTCTCCTTTTTCTGAGCAAACAGAATTACTGAATTTGACTTGCATATCTCAAAGCATGAATTCCCTGTGGACAGGCAAGAGCTGTATGGACCTTTTTGCAACGCAGCACCCATAATAAATAAATGGGAAATTGCATTGTGGAATTCAGTCACTTAATGTAATGACTGAAAGTTTTGTGTGTACTACCTGACTGAAATTTTCCCATTGAATTTCTGTTCAATGTGCCGAGTGTTACCATTTAAATCTTAATTGGTCTACTTTTAAAAATAAATATGGCAAGTTGGGTGTCTCTTTATTCATACTCTTTGTGTCCACCCACCAGTCTCTTTCTTTTTTCTTTTTTTTTTCCCAGTTCCTTTGACTAAAATGTCATATAAACTATTCAATCCAAATGTGCATCCTGCTGTCATTGGGAATTGGTATACAATAGCTACAACTTAAAAATCCCCAAACTTCTTTATAAGCCCACTGATTCTTACATAGAAGGTTGTCATGTTTCTCAGCTTGGTCATTTTTGAAGCAGAAGTTTTTTATTTAAAATTATTATTTTTATATTTCCTTACTTTAGCTTTTCATAATAATAGAAGGTGACCCCCAATGCTCACTGCTCAAAAGCTTCTCATAAATTTTACTTGGGAAATCAACTTCTTTGTGGGATGTTTTTTTTTCTGTATTCTTTGTATTCTGTCTGCTGTATTCTTATGCTATTCATGCTAGACATCTGGCTGTCTTCTCCACCCAGTTTCTGATGGGTGTATGCTGCCTGGGAGAATTTCTACTTGTTTCTGGTGACTCTACATTAAACTAAGCTCAATAATATATAGAAATACAAATTAAAACTGACACTTCTCAACCACCCCATACGAACTCTAGTATATGTCAACTTTTAGTTGTCTGTGTTCAAATTATTTGGATCGTGTATTTCCCACACACAGATGCACGGGCTGCAGAGATCTGGAAGCGGTTATTTCTGTGCAGCACAGATACATGATCAGTGTGATCCGTGTAGGGTAGCTCACAGGGGTGTAGTACAGATACACCTCCCAGAGGTTTCACTTGCTGCCCCCATGTAACCCATGCGCAGCCCCAGCTCACTTGAAACATGAACGCTGCCTCTAACTGCCTGCTCAGCACTCTGGGTTCAGCAAGGTAGACTTGTGAGTGCCTAGATTTACTTTGAGGGAGCATTCAACATTGCCCAAGTGACTCTGTAAAGATAATCCTGGTTCCTGAAGAGCCACTGCTGAGGCTATACATCAGTGCCTCCACAGTAGGACTGGTATACTCTGCACTCTCCCCTTCAGCCTTCATCCTATCACCACTGGACGACCCCTGCCATCTAGCCAGACTATCCAGATGGACAGTGTGCAGCCTGGCCTTGTGCAGCCTGTTCTTTGTCAGGAGCTGGAAGTACCAATTGTAGCTTTGCCCAGACACAGCCCAGCTATCTCCACATTGCACTCCCATTACGTTGCCAAGTAGCCTCATTATCCAGACTTAATCCCAGCCTCTTCTTACCTGGATGGTATAGTTACCTGCAGTGTCTGGGCTTTCAAAGATCAGATTTCCAGGCCAAAAAATATTGAGACCACCAGGGTGTCCTGACATCAGGCTGAAGTCTAGTAACAGCACACTTGCACTTGGAGCATTCCCTAACTGTAAGCCTTTCAAAGATAAGTATTGTTCTTGTTCATGCAGTCCAGGCTTACAGGTTGGCCAACATGCCAAGTTTGTTGTTGGTTTGGGATTTTTTTTCAATTAAAGAAAAAGGGGGTCTTGAAAACCTCTAATTCCTTTCTGCATCTACCCAAACTCATAAGAAAGCCTTCTAGATAGATACTGTCTGTATTTTTGAGTCACCTCTACCTTAATATTCTATTGGAATTGTCTTGGAATAAGACATTCCAGTTGATCAGTTCATCTTCCCTGTTACGTGGTCATTGCCATCTGGATACAGATCAGGGTGTCTGTAGGAACTTACGCACTATCCCACAACATCCACAACAGAGGTAGAGCTTGGTGTTTTGGTGATTGCCCAACCTACGGTGCTGAAACAAGCTTTTCACCTGCCCAGAAAGAAATACTGTACAGGAGAATAAAGATTAGATTTGTGTGTGAAATACAATATCAGTAACCCCTACTGTCCTGCTCTGCTGCACATGTTTTAATATACATGCTGCTCTGCCAACTTTGTATCATAGTCTATTTTGTGCCACATAGTATACTACACAACAATATGGCCTTACATATGTATATACATACATATATATACACAAACATATATATATAAATGTTTTTTCTCCGGCAAAAATATTTTTTTACTTTTGTCATAGTTCAGTCTTCCATGAAGCTTTGCAAGAAATAAGTATAATGAATCTGCTCCAAACAATGCAGGACTGGCCACATACACAAATGAAAGTCTGCTTGACAAAGAATGAGAGGAAAAGAGTTCCGGAGAATACCTAGAAAAATATCTTCACACAGAACAGGATGTAGGAAATACTTTTTCAGAAGATACACTTTAAAATACTGCAAAAAATACAGCAAATTTTCATTGATATGATTCTCAGAAAAAAAAATGAATATTTTCTGTATTTCTTTTCCTCAGTTCAGGAACAAGCCAGTTTGTGAATTACTGATTTTTTAAAAAGTGATACTGTTCTATACTATACTAGTTACTCTACAAAGCTATCTTAAATCAGCACTGTGGGAAAAGGGAAATCCTGAATCTGCAAGAGAAACCATTGATGGTCACCTTCAAAGGCAGGCTGTGGAAGCAGAAACTAAAATATTTCCTGTTCTGTCTCAAATGAATATGTTTCAGTGTTCAATTTCTAATCTTCCAGGATGCTTTGTGGTATGCAACTAACAGCTGTTGTGAGTAGCATTGTTTTTATGCTTACTGTTTTTGTTTCATGTCACACTTTTTTTTCTTTCCTCTTCTTTGCTGTTGGCTTCACTTCTGGCTCCATCAGAGAGAGCTGCAGGTCTTTGCTGCCGCTTAGTAGTCCCCTGTCATAAAGGAATGCCAAGGCTTACTGATCTGTCTGTCAAAACCAAAGATGTCTGGGAAATTCCACGAGAATCCCTACAGTTGATCAAGAGACTGGGAAATGGGCAGTTTGGGGAAGTATGGATGGGTATGGAGCAAAATAATTATTCTAAAATAGCTCTTTGTGTGGGGATTGCAAGATGGAAGGTGAAGTGTAGGACATACAAAGCTCAAATTGTTAGGAGAGATGCCTTTGGAATAGTGTCTTTAGCTTTGAAATTCTTCAATCTTGAACTCTCACTTTAATTGATGGCGAAAGAAAACTGAAATTTTGTGTTTCTTTGGAAGGCTTCAATTTTGACGAATTACCAGCCTCTTACTAATAGATCATGGTCCACATAGCAATCTACTAATTATATCAATGAGCCTTTTTCTGCAAGCTAACAAGAAATTTTTTGCCTTCGGTATCCAAAAATCAGTGTTTGCAAATGAACTTTAATGCGGCACTGAAAGTCACCTTCCATCTTTCTCAATGCATGCATAATTTTGGATTATAAGTGTGTTTTTTTTATTAATTTCCTCTCCTATAGAGAAAGCTGATGGTTTGTGTTTTAACTTAACTGTGATTGCTACGAATAATACCCCACAAACTGTTGGATTGGCTAAAGATGCATGGGAAGTTGCACGTGATTCATTATTTCTGGAACAGAAGCTTGGTCAGGGCTGTTTCGCTGAAGTGTGGCGTGGTAAGGCAGAGAATATATTTTGCTTTGGATGGATCTTTTAAGGCCCTCTTGGCTGAAATAAACATTTCAAGTAGAAATCTTAAAGCTGAAAGCAGAATAGCAGAATAGCATGAAATATTGGTTTATGTCACTCAAACAGATCTAAATGCAGTAATCTTTGTGGAAATTCCTTTCATTTACACACACACTGATATGAGACTTTAGGGCTTTAAATTTCGTTACTTGCACTGATTTTATTTTACTGGCTCTACAGGTGTCAGGTTTTAAAACAGAAGTGATGGTGAACTTGTGAAGCAGAATGGCTAACCAGAAATTAATCTCACACGTTGATGTTTTTCTTTCCTCGTATGTTCTAGCATTGATGGGGTCAAGCCCTGCAAATGCTTCCATCCCCTCTTCCAATTTTAAAGCAAAGTATCAGCGAGCTAATACTTTCAAGCTAGCTTTCCCATGCATCCACTTCATTAATTGTTTTGAAATTTGTGTCTGCATCACAGAAGCCTGTAACTCGATATAGAGACCAGGGACAATAGTGTCAAGACTTGCCCAGCCCAGCTGAACCCACACTTTGAAGTCCAGAAATACTGACATTTTCCAAATCCACTGACATTGTTTTCTGCCCATTTGCCAGCTTTACTTAATACTCCCCTCTCCGTGGGCCGCATTCTTTTAGTGACTACAAAACAATAGTAATTAAAAAAATATATAAATCTTATTATAGCCGTAGCATTGAAACACAATATAGTGGCCGTTTAATGAGAGGTGGGCTCAATTTTTGTGCCAAATTGCACTCTGTGTAGCATCTTAGAATATTTCATTCAAATGAAGAATCACCATATGTTGCTTCTTTACTTCACAGTCACACTAGTGGAGGAGTGTGGTCATTCTTTTTGTTGCAGTGACACAAAGAATGTAAAACCAAAATAACCAGTGGGCTCTCCTGGGCTCTTGCAGCTGTTTTCGGTTTCAAGACTACAGCAAGGAGCGTGGCAGCAAGTCTCTAAAATTTATAGAATGCAGTTGACCTATTGGAAAAAAAAAAAAAAACAAAAAGAAAAAAAAAAAAACACAGCCAACTACATTTTATATTAGCATCCCCAGATAACTGCAATTTCACTTTCTTGTTTTCCATCTTAAATACCTGTTAGACTTTCAAGTTGATGTCAATACTTAATGGTCACCTTTTATGTGCCATAGATCTTAAACTGTTAAAATAAGCTAAAGCAGCAAATGCAATTTAGAAAAAAATCAACGATGAGAAATAAAGTGCCAAGTACCAATACCAAATATCTGTCAGAAATGGGAAAAATGTTATGACAGTTGTGACGTTATTTTTCTTAATGTATAGTAAAAAATATGTTAACAGCCATGAGGTATTACTGAATTGGAACATATTAACACTGTAAAAATGGATTAAAAAATGCATTAAATAGTAGCTAACCACCTGCAGGAGGAGTTCAGAGGAAGGTCTCTGCTAATGAAAGTTAGCTAATTTTTTATGAAAATATCAAAACAAAACAAGAAAATGTAACAATTCAAATTGAAATATGGATGGGAGAATAAGTTAACCCCTTTTATTTAATTTTCTTTTTTTAACAACTGAATACGTTTGGAAAAATATTTAAAATACAACTACTGAAAGCATTTCGTGGTAATAGAATGAAGCTCAGGGTTTTTTTTTATCAAGACAAAGAACAAACAAATACACAGTTAATCTCGTGAACACACCAGGTAAAATCCTAGTTTTTAATGTCAGTAATGAAAACCCTTGTTTCCATGAGGCTCGGTTTCCACCACAGTTTGTATAACTGGTGGCACTTCTGCAAGTGACAGAGACTGCTCTGCAGGTCTGTGTCTCAGTGTTTCCCTACAGGACATGCTTCATCTCACTCACTGGAAAAGATTTTGGCAGCTCTGCTTGAAATCAGAAGGTAAAGCTGCATCCTTCCTAGCTTGCGCATTAGCGCTACTGAAGCAACCCCTTGCTTCAGCTGTGCTTTGAAGGACTGGGTGAAACCAGGAGCTCAGGAGCCTGCCTGAGGTGCTCAGGGCTTTACTCTGGCATTAGTAGTGGTCACAGCGCTTGGCAGTGGGCTGGCAGAAGTAAAAAACCAAACTTGCACTGCACTCTTTTGGCTAATACACATCTCAAACCCTCCTCAAGCAACACAGTGTGTTGCTGCATGAGTGGTCAAGAAAATGAAAAGCAGCATTCAGAGCAGCTCCCCCACCTCTTCTCCCCTGCCTTGACTAGGTGAGACAGCAGCTGAGAGCTAACTGCACAGAAAGCAGCCTAGCTCATTTATGCCCTGGCAGGCTGCAAAAGCTCAATCGAGGTGTTTTGTATTAGTCTGCTCCTGTACAGAGGCTGAGCCAGTAACTGTTGGTGTGCTTTTAACAAACACACATTAACTATATTTTAGCCCAAATATTCAAAGTACTGTGTACATCTTCTGCTATTTTCATGCTCATGTGCAGAGGAGTAGATTTTACCCAGTGCTATTAATATCTGAAGTCACATAGTGTTGTTCTCCTGCCTCGTGAAACAGCAGCTCCCCATCACCAGATCACATTCTATATGGAATCTTTGAGATCCAGACTGAAAGATGCACTGTCATAGTGCTGTGAGAGAACTGATGAGGAAAGTCTGGCCTGCTTGTAGCTGCATTAGAAAAGAAATATTTTTAATGATATTTTTGAATTAGCATTTACCGTTCTTAAGAAGCATTTACCATTGCTTCTATTCCATTTGGCTCCTGTTACTATAGGACTGTGTTAGTGAATTTATCAGCAAAGAGAGCCAAGAATTTTTCTGAACAGGCATAGTTCTGTGCATGTCTGTCAGCTCCAAAAGACTGCATGAAAACACATAGCTGACACATCTGGACTTCTGCCAGCTGACAGAGCAAGCTGCTGGGGATCCTGCACCTCTGAGGCTGGTGGCTGCAGCCCTCTCGGCAGGCTCCTGGTAGCTCAGATCCTGGTCAGCCTTGCCTCTGAAGCAAGCTTCTGGGAAGCATGGCCCAGAAACTACCAGATCTACTTTTCTTTGCTATCTGTTCTGCCCTCCAAGGAGATCCCGGCTCTATTCAGGGCCTTGTGCAGGCTTCTGGGGTCCAGAGCCAGGTGCTTGCCCTTCCATGCCCCCACACCATGGCACTGCACCCCAGCACTTCTGGCCTGTACATCTTTTTGGCTCTCCCTTTCCCAGGGCTGGTGCGAGGCTCAAGGAGCACCCCGCCCCTCAGGAGCAGCTCTGGCATGTCTGCAGCCCTGCTGCCTGCTGTGAGATGCTGCAGAGGATCTGGGAGGTGGGGTGAAGGGAGCAGGAGCTTCTGAGTTTTCAGTCAGCAGCTGCTGGGCTTCCAGGAGTTAGGTGGAGAAGAACAAAGACTCATTTTGGTTTGGAAACAGGCCCGTGTTTCTGAAATGAAATCGATTCAGAATTTGTTGCTTGGGAATTTTTCTTATATATATTTTTTTCCTGTAATTCAGAAAAAAAAAATATGTTAAAATGTCTTGCAAATGGAAAGTTCTGTCTTTGGCCAGTTCTGTTATCCAAATCTGTGAGTGGAACCGTGTTGTTGTCTGGAGTCACTGCTTGGTAGGAGGGAAATGCATGGAGATAGATTTCAGCAATCCCGAGTTTCTTACTCAGAGGAGGTTTCAGTGGACACCACTGAAAGCATTGTCTGAGTAAGGCATGAGAGATCATGCCCCAGTGCCAATGGGAGTATTATTTTTTTTTTTATAACCAGAAAAGACTTGAGGGAGGCATGGGAGGAAAACAAATGGAAAGGCAAAATATGAAACCACACTTGCAAAAGTAATATTGCGTCCTTGCCAGCTTACTCCTCTGTTACATTAGGTATCGGTCAGAAAAATGAATAGAAGCTGTTCAGTCTTACTGTGTGTCTGTGCTTTTAGGTACATGGAATGGAAATACTAAAGTGGCTATCAAGACTCTGAAGCCTGGCACTATGTCTCCAGAATCATTCTTGGAGGAAGCCCAAATCATGAAGAAGCTAAAACATGACAAACTGGTCCAGCTTTATGCTGTGGTGTCTGAAGAACCCATCTATATTGTCACAGAGTACATGAGCAAAGGTGAAGCTAGAGCTGCTGCCATTGATTGCAATACATTTTTTTTATGAAGCTCAGAGGGAGGTGCAGTGTGATGCCTGAACAGTGTGTGAGGAAGGAAAGGGTGAACACGAAGCTAAATTCACTTCTGGCTTCAGGAGAGCTGTCATTCAACTGCATAGCAAGAAACACTTTAAGAAAATATGTGCTAGATTCTTTTCACTTTCCTGTTCTCCTTCCACTTCTCCTTCCCCTTCCCTTCCACCTCCTCTCTTCTCTTTTTCTTTAGGCTACTTAACTGGTAACAATGTAGTAAAATGAGAAAAAGAAAACGTTTAGCTCCATCAGATCTCCAGCAGGGGTGCTGAGAGCAGAGCAAAAAATCTGCTTGTTTTGGAAAAGCAAAGAAACCAAATAGGAAACCTAAGTTCTCACAGGGAAGTTTCATTGTACATTGGAGAATACACTGAAATTTTCAGTACATTTTTTCAGTCTATTTGGAGTTGATTTTTATTTTCCTGGCAGGTGCCTGCCCACCTCCCTCCTCAGGGGCATCCAAGCACTGACTAACTCACATTTTAATCATATGTCTCAATGACAAGCATGTGCTTTTTCCTTTTAAAAAAACAACTTTGCAAAGTCTTCTGAAATACATGGTTTATTTTGGCTTAGTTTACTAGTTTTTACTGTGCCATTTTATGTTTGGTTCTGAGCTTGAAGCTCAGGATTTATCAGGGGAAAAGGCCTAATCATCTTTCCTTTCCCCTTATTTGTTAAACCAGTTCACTGAGCTTGTTTAAAGGAGACTGCCACACTTCTCTGTTTAAGTAAAAGATTGTGAAGCTGCAGATTTTTAAAAGCTACAGGGAGCCTCCTTGCTTTCCTTCTCATGTGGAAGTTATGTGCATATTGCTTTTGCTAAAATCACTTCCATTTGACCTGTTTGGTCTTCTCTAGTTTTGCATAGTGGTCTTCTAAAATTCATAGTTTGTGCCATAGCTAGTTGTTTGTTGCCTAGAGAAGGATGGCTACAAATAGTGTGGTTACTAATTTTCTAAGGAAAATTAGTCTCTTAATGCTAGCACATTTAGACTTACCAGGCTTCAAGCTGACCTTTCTTTTGGAGAAGGTTGAGCCAGGATCTGACTTTTTCCATAGCTTGTGAGGCTTGGAACCAGGCTGACACTTTTTAGTGAGCTGAGGCCTTTAGAGAGCAGCAAGTATGCAGTTTCAAAGAGCACTGGAAATGTGAGGAAAAATCAGCTTTCTTAGTAACAATCAGGAAAATTAAAAACAACTTTCTTTTCCCTACAGTTTTCTTTAGATAGTGACATAGACTTCTGCAAGCCAATCTTACAGCCGGCTGAAACAAGTACAGTAGGAGAATTTTGAAATACCAGTTTTTTTGTTTGCTTGTTTTGTGTTCTTTTGTTGGTTTTTTTTTTTTCTGAGACTGTCCACTTGAACTCAAAGCACCGTTGTATTTAATATTGCACATATCGTTGCACCTCCAACCTGATGAATAGCCATTGTTTCCCTAACATTTCTGTATTGTGTCATCTCTGCATTTACAGGGAGCTTGCTAGATTTCTTAAAAGATGGAGAAGGAAGAGCTCTGAAGCTACCAAACTTAGTGGACATGGCAGCTCAGGTCTGTGTTCAGAGTGTTGAGCACTTACGTGTGCATGTTTCAAAGCTCACAGATGTTTGAGTTCCTTTTAACATGCACGTGATTGCGTTTTACACAGGTGGCTGCAGGAATGGCATATATTGAACGAATGAATTACATACACAGAGATCTGCGATCTGCAAACATTCTGGTGGGGAATGGACTAATATGCAAGATTGCTGACTTTGGATTAGCAAGGCTGATCGAAGACAATGAGTATACAGCAAGACAAGGTAGGTGCAACAACAGGAATAGAACTGAGCGTTGTTTTTCTGACAGGAGAACATCATTTTAAAAAACTCTCTCTCCTGTGCTTTGGAGTTGCTTTCATAAATCCTGAAGTCATATTATGTGCTAGTCCAGAAAACTCCACTGCTGAAGGCACATCCTGTGTAGGATATCTGAACAGTTGTCTTTGTTTTATTTTGGTCAGTTTTTAAGGGAAAAATAATGAATGGGAGCACAGGTGGGTGAAGTGACAGTAATGGTGAGGTCCTAGTGGTGCCACAACAAGGCTGATACTTTACTTACCACGCTAGAAAGCCTGAATAGAACAAGCCAACATTGCTGTGCTATTCTTATTTTCTTTATTTTGACTGGTCAAAGAAATCTGGGAATCATGTTTTCATGCAGTAGATCTGTCTCTCTGAGAACTTAGAAAGTTACTTTAACAGGAAAGCCATTTTCCAGCTCTACATAGAATGCTGGGCACCACTGATAACTGATAGGCTATAAAAACAAATCAAATAGTGTTGTAGCTTTTTAAAAAAGCATGTGTGCGTGTGTTCAGACTGAACCATGACACAGCCTCTTTGTAGTTAGTTGTTCTTTACAAGTCACGCTTGGTTGTCAGATGTTGATCCAAGTTTGCAGAACTACAGTTTTGTTCTCTTTCTGCTGGCAGAACACTGGTAATGCTTGCTTAATATGTGTCAGTAAATACCACTCTGTCCATTCTCAGTTCTGAAGCCAGAGACTGCCTCATTAGACTGTGTTTCATGACTGTGTTTCATGTCATCAGAAAGCAAAGGTTAGCTAAATGCACCTTCATAACCTACACGTACTCCTTCCTATTGCAAGATTTTTCTCTTAACTGAAGTCCCTTTTATTAGCAGATTAACTATTAGGAAAGAGCTAACCTCTTCCTGTAACTTTCAAGTGCTGACAGAATGAGACAGTTTCCAGAGAGCAGGCGTGCTCCCATTGATCACAACCCTCTTAATTGCTCTCAGCAGCACCTAGCCACAGGGATGGGGGAGTGCAAGCTGCATCCACGCTAACAGTTGCTGGCTTCATTCAGGAGGCAAGCCCTGATTATTTTGTGGAGGTCCTTAAGGAACATGTTGTAGGTACTAATGCAGAGTTAACTGCTACTGAGTGGAACCTGAGGGTGAGAATTGCTCCTTGCTTGCAAAAATAGCTTCATGTCGCTCCCGCTAGAGTAATAACAGTGCAAGCTCTGCTGGACAGAAAACTGCCTCCTGGCCCCTCCCCTCTGCAAAACAAGAAGGGTTTATCTTGAAAAAGGCAGCCAGATCCAGTCTGTAAAATGGCTTTGAAACTGTTTTCTATAGTATCTCCATTTTTGTCTGTTTTACTGCCATGCCTTTTGTTCCCTTTGGAAACGGCCCAATGTATAGTTTGACATGACTAATTATTTGTTTGAATAGACAAGTATGTAACCTACTTCTGGCCAAATCTCTTCAAGCCCATGATCCCTAGGAAATCCTCTGATGACCTGTTTGCTTCCTGGTTTAAATCTCTCAAATAGTTTTGCTCTCTTTACGTGTTAGAAATCCTTGAAAACCTGCATGAGCGACGGTGAGGAAAAGCTCAGATTGTTTAAGACAATAAGTTATTGATTTTTGATGGGAAATCTTCGAGCTGCAGAAAGTAAAATGGCAGGACTAGCAGGGAGAGGGACCATAGTGGTAGACATGTCTTACCCTTCTTTCACTGTGAAATCTCTTATGTCATGGAAAATGCAGCTAGGAAAGGCCTGGCATTCAACCTGTGGCACTGACACTGAGGAGACCTGACTCCAGTGTGCATGGTACTGTCTTGTGGTGCACGTGGGGAGAAGTCACTCAAATTTGTTCATACTTCAAGGCAATGGACCGTACTTCTTCCCTGTACTGAGGTCAGGCTGAACTCCTTCGGAGCCACCGAGGACTTTGGAATGGGGACCCAAAGAGTTGCAATCACAGACGTCTTGTAGAAATGTTTCCCCCCATTCAGTAACGATTTTTTCACCCTTTCTTAATTGGTAACTTGTTTTTGAGAGGAGTGCACTTCTGGCCATGCAACCTATTCTCAATTTACTTTTCATTGCAGTTCATCTGGCTTCCAAGGCAGGCGGGCAGCCAGGGTTGAGCCTAGGACCTTTAATTTATCGAGGAAGAAACGCAGCTTCTAAAATGCCACTGGAATTTTTCTCTTAAGTGAAATTCAATCCTGTTTGTTCAGTTCGGCTTCGGTTTTGAGCACTGCTTGGTGGCGACCACAGTATCAGAAGGAAACGGTTGTCTTTGCTTGTTTCCCATGACCTATTACTTCAGCCTCTGAGGGGATGCATCTGGGGACCATTCTGTTTATCTGGCTGACCGCTGCTTCACTGGGAATTCTGACATGGGAGGAGAACCTGGCTGGCGGAGGGAAGGGGGTGGGGAGTGCTGTAGACTGGCAGCTCCTGTGGGAGAGAGGAAATGTCTTGCCTTATGAAATCTGAAGATTAAAGCCTTTGGTCACTCTCTCTGCAGCAGTCTTCCTCCTCATGGCTTGTAAGTGAGTTAGCAGGGAGCTTGTTGTCAGTCTGGGGAAGGGCTGGCTTTCTCCGGCCTCACTTGATCTCCGGCTCCCTTCCCCCACTGTCACTTCTGCCTCCGATTAAATATTTTGAAAGGAAACAGATGGGGATGCTTTGAGCTCCAGAGGGTTAGAGTGCAGGATTCCTGAACCTGTGTGGTTATTACTCAGCCTGGTGGTAATGTTTTACCGACCGGTTTATTTTCTTTTTGGTTTGAACAAAAGAGGTCTGACTGCTCCTGATTTAAGAGAGGTAAATAAAAAGCAGTTTGTTGTCTGCACTGCCATTCTCAGCAATTGGCAGGAAGGAAAGAGACAGTCACACCGCTAATGATTTAAAGTGTGTGACCAGCAGCTATATGCTGCCATTAAATAATACACACCAAAAAAAGTTCTTGGCTTGTAATGAACATTTGGCTCCTCTTACTCTTAGAGGAAGTGAGTAATCAAAGGGAAAAAAGCATGCTATTAAAGTGACGCCCATTTTAAAGGCTATGGCAGTGAGCTTACTGCAGTCCACCCCATCAGGGTTTGGTCCTTCTGGCTGTTGCTGTTGCAACATCTTTTTCCCCCACACTGCATTGGGCATATTCTGTGTTGTGTGCTTCCGAAGAGATTATGCCTGTGTTAGCCTTGCAGAGCAACCCCTGGCATTCTTGGTGCTCTGTGGGATGGAGAGAAACTTCTCCTCACCCGCACGCACAGGATTCACCATGCAGCTCTGCTACCCTGCTCTGATCTGGTTTGCAGCTCTGCAGGGTCTGGGCCAAGCACATGGCTTTGTTGTGCTGAGTGCTCCATGGAGCTGCTGGGGAAGAGCTGTTACTATTCAAAGCTGTAGCAACTGATACAAATTTAAATTGCCTTAATACAAAAAGAGCATTTATTTTCCAGGCAATGTTTCTACTGCATTCACTGGCAGGGCTTGCAGTAATGCTGCTCCAAGCACACATGAAACATTAAGAATCTTTCTGATGCCTTCCAGACAAGTCAGGTCTATTCTGGGAGCTCTCGTACATGTTTGTAAACTTTTGGATCACTTTTGCCTCCTCAGTGCTTAGAAATATCTCCTTCCTGCCTTGCTCAGAAACCAGTGATGCTTCTTATTTTTGTTTCCTAGAAAATAGCAGGCACTGTTTCCCTCTGCCACTCTCTCCCTGGGCTTACCACTTGTCAATTGATCGGGTGCTGGTGTTGGCAATTGGTTGCACCACCAGCTGCAGCTCCGGGAGCTTTGTCCTCACTCAGTGCCGAAGAGCAGGCAGGAGGGGACAGCTCCTGCTTCTCAGCAGCAGCCCCAGATCCTGGAGGGGTAGCAGAGGTGCCTTCTGCCCCCCAGCAAGGAGCTTCGCAGGGTCGGGGGAGGGCTAGGGCTGTGTTTGGGCCCACCCGCAGTTGTACCTCTCGTTCCCCGATTCCTGGGGAGGGTCAGCCTGGGGAACCTGCCTCTGGCTCCTGATGTTTTGCCATGCTTGTAATTTCACGTTAATTCTCACAGCACAAAAAATGCAATTGCGCGGTTCCTCCCACACAGCACACCCCATCGCCTACCAAGGCTGACTCGTTTCCTGTTACATGCTTACTTCAGCATTTCAGTTTTACCCTTTGTAGCCTTCTCTTTTCAGCTTTGGGAGCAATGTGGTGCTGAGTTGTGCTCCCCAGCTGCTCAGTCAGGGGTTCCCATACTCATAGATTCTGGCACTGGGTGTGCTGGGCTTGATTTGCAGCTTCATATCATTTCTAGGAAATGCAGCAGTGACTCTGGGGCATTAATTGCAGAGCTTTCTGGTTCGTCGAGATTGAGATCTGAACACCTGAGCTGCGAGGGATTTTCTCAGGCATCAGAAGAAACCATGCTAGGAGCTGCATTTGGTGTTGCTCAGTTATCTCTGCCCTCTCTGCTCCTTATCACAAAGCCTTACTTGGGGCTGAGGAGAACCTGAAGCAGCAGCAGAAGCTGCTTCCTTTAGCTCACAAGCCCCCAGGTACGAGTACTGGGCAGAGCAGCGCTTGGGCTCACAGAAGTGCCCTTGGGCAGGGCCAGCACCTGACCTTGCATCGTGCCTGAAGCCTTGGTGTGCTGCACGGCCATGCAGAACAGAAACCCAAAAAAAGACTTTTCCCTTGCTGAAATGTTTCAAAAAGGCATGGAGATAAAAGCCACAGAAGAAGATCTTGCTCTGGGGCAAAGACAGGCTATCCTGACCTAGGAATGTGGTGTGAGAGCAATTTGTACAGACAGAGTTACTGACCTGCTAGTAATACAGTGTGTTCCAGCAAAAAATAAAGAGAGAAATCCCTCCCAGCAATGTAAAATCTGCCTTGAAAGTGGCAGATAGGCTGCACTGTCAGCTGGGGTAATTTGGCTTATCAGATTTATTAGCATGCTTGTCACTAATATGCATTTTATCTGGTGATCTGATGCTGTAATTTGCATGACATATGGAGTCAGCATATTCAATAAGCTGGGCTGGGGCTGCTTTTCCTAACCACCATGCTGGGGACAGGGCAAGTGCAGGGGCTGTGCCTGCCTGCCAGGAGCCATGCTGAGCAAGGGGAGCAGCAATTTGGCTTCAGAGTGGTGCTCAAAACATTTTGTGGTTTTTGTGTTTCCAAAGAAGTGCCCTGTGTTTGCAAGGCAAGGGGTCCATTTACTCAAAGTGTTGGTGTGATGGGCTCCTGCTCGCTGCATCAGGCAATGATGCCAGCTGTTTGAGCTCCTATGCAAGCACGTGTATCTTGTGGTGGTGCTCAGAGGGTTCCTTACACTTTGCCGTTGCCTCTCCTTGTTCTAAGCAAGCTGTGTGTGATCTTTTAGGTTTATGGCAGTGTGTGCATTAAAACTACAGCTGTGAGAACTGGCACATCCTACCTGGTTTCCACTTTCCCTTAATTAGGGATCTATTATACAAGTTTGCTATGGGATGCTCTTGGACCATCTGGTCTCCAGCATGCCTTGCAGGGCTAGAAAACCAGGAGTCAGTTGGCCTCTCTGCCAACCTCTCCTTCCTCTCCTCCCCATCTATGTCTTCAAACCGAGGTTCAGGAAACACTGCAAAGAATACAGACTGTGATTTATGTATAAATTGGTCTAGATAGGACCCCTGATGTAGAGGCAACATAGCAATGTAACAAGTAGTTACCCTGCCACCAGAAAAATCAAAAGCATAAATTGTTTGTCTTCTCCAGCAGTGGGGCTTACATTGCTCTAGCTCTCAGTAAAAATGATATGCTGGAATTGTGCCTTCCCTTCTCACCTATTTTCCTATCTTCCCATGACCCCTCAATATACCATAGAGTCACCTCCTCATGCCACAACAGCAGCAGGGTGAAAACACTGGGGCAGTTGGCCTCAAAGGAGACTAAAGAGATTTCTTTAATCCAAAGATGAGTTTTTTAATGCTGTCTTTCTATCTGAGTGCCAAGAACAGGGTCACGGAATAGCTGAAGTTGGACCTCTGAATGAAGGTCATCTGGTTCAGCTGGGAAGCAAAAGGTGTCAGCCTTTCAGGGAAACACAGCTGATCAAAAACAAAAAACAAAAAGGAGAAAAAGAAGAAAGAAGGAAAGAAATTGTTGAATAAATTATGTGCAACAAGTGAACAAGCAAGCCTTCAGGCTTGGTCATCTCACATGTGATCAGACCCTGTCCAGGCTTTCCGGCTTCATTCAGTTAGAATAGTATTTGTGTGCTATCCCAGCTGCAACGTGTGTGAGGACAGAGGGACATTAGTCCTCATGTTCATGACATGCCTGCAGATTTAAGGAACTTGACCTGCAGTTACATGCAGCCTGCAAGTTTTCTGGGGATTGGAAAGTGTTGTGTAGCCCCAGGATATGCCAGTCCCAGCTCATCCAGTACCATAGGGCTACCAGTGCTGTCAGGCCACGGTCAAGGACAGAGTTCCAGAGATGGCAAGCTGCAGAGACCTCAGACATCACAGCCCAGATGGACTTTAAGAGAAGAGGTTCTGTAAATTTTGAGTCTAATCTATACCAAGATTATTCCCATGAAGTTTTAGCTGGGGAAACTAAGGACAAAGCTGAGCACAAGAATAGTAGCTCCAGCAGATCAGCTAACATAAAGGCTACATATGAGGCAGGCTGTTTGAAAGTGAAGAGACACCCACAAATCCTTCAGCACCTTGGCAAATTCAACCACTGATGTGCTGATGCTTAACTAGCCTTATGTCCCTAACTTCAGGCATTAGGGATTTGAAGCTTTCTTTATCTTACATCTTTTTATATAGAAGGACTTACATGAGCATCAGCAGTTTTCACTAGAAAAAAAGGTATTTGTTCCTGCGTAATATTGTCTCTTAGGATCAATTATATGTAGTGTAGGAAAAAAAGTTATCACATTTAATGTTTTACTAAGTAAGGGAATGAGAATTGCCACGTCTGCTTTGTACTCTTGGTCCAACCCAGATTGCAGCATAGAGTAGAAGTACAGAGCATCAAGCACTGGATGTGGTAGAGGAATGGTGTCAGCAGGGAACTGTAAACAGTGCCATAACTTAATTCCCTGAAAGCCATTTGTCCATGTTACAATTTCCACACTCATCCTGAAAGCTAAAGGAGCTTTTATGAGGGGGTGGTGAGAAGTCAAAGTCAGTATGCTTCAAAATTTGAGTGTCGCTAGGGATCCACAGTAAGCAATGCAACTCTTCTGCCTTTATGTTAATACAAGGCACCAGGGAAATGATTGCGTATTTTTTCTTACATGCTACGACTTAATTATTACCACAAGACTTTTCTTTAAAGTCACACTGAAAATATTTTCCCTAAGAAAACAGTAAATGATCAGAAAAGCAAATAAATCAGAGTTTAAAGGCTTGTTATCTTACCATCCTTACCACAATTGGATCCTGCAAGCCCTGATGATGGATGAGCACATTAGGCTGCACGTATTTAAGGCACTACAGTCTTCAGTGCCAGGAGTTGAAAGTACACTGTCAAGTTATAAATCACAGGCCACAGTTGTGCCTTGACATCATTGCACTCCAAGCATCTCGAGTAGCAATCTTATATTTTAATCCTTGCATGTTTCTAATGAAATATTATGTTTGTCTTTAATTTATGTTTTTACTGTGTTTGTTTGTTTTGCATTTTGCTGAGCTTGAGCAGGGAAACCGGGACGTACATTTGTAATAAATCTCACTTCTATTCAACATGCTGTGACATGCAAACATCACAGGGAAATGTTGATTTGAAACATTTTGGGAGAACGAATTTCTGTTTTATTGAGCTTATTGGATTTTGTGCCATTTTTCTTATATAAAACTTCAAATCTGAATTAAAATCTTAGCCCTCTCTTGGGACAAACCCACCCTTGCCTGCTAAGACTTTCTTTTTGCCCTACACATTCCACCCAACTGTCCTCTGGGAGCATACTCCATGGAGCTGTTTGTTAATACTTGCTTCTTCACCCTGCAAGTGTTGCAGAACAAAGCAGTCGCCTGCAGACTGGTGCTTTGGGTGCTTTGTTTCCATCACTATTCTATTTAAGACTCATTTCTTCTTTCACTAGGTGCAAAGTTTCCCATTAAATGGACTGCACCAGAAGCAGCATTGTATGGAAGGTTCACAATCAAGTCGGATGTGTGGTCTTTTGGGATCCTACTGACAGAGCTGGTAACAAAAGGGAGAGTGCCATACCCAGGTAAGAAAACCATCCGAGCCCTGCATCACTGGGGGAGAAGAGTGGGAATGAGCCATATGGTTAAAGTGGAATGTGTGCTTATTGTCATTGGGCTCAAAGGAGGATGGTTATCATGCAGAAGTTCTGTGTATGCTTGGAAGGAAGTGGTCGTGACTGAAAGCCAGTGAGTATTGGTCATGAACAAGAGGACAGGAAATCCAGTGTACTTGTTTCTATGTTTTTAATTGTTTTCAATTAATTTACTTTCTATCAAAATATTGAAAGCAAGGTAAAACAACTGCATACCAGAAAAGCATTCTCCACATTTGCATTCCCTTTAAAATACCAACTAACTCCCAGAATAGCATTACTGTATTTCTTCTGTCAGTCTGGTTCTGTACAAGGTCTGGTGACTGTCTGAATGTCTGGCATTACCAAATCTCCTTTTTACATACTCTTAAATTTCAATCCTTTTGTTAGACATGGGTGGAAAGGAAAGAAAAAATAGTGTGCAGGCCAGAGCTCACGGCAGGGTCAGAGAGGGGCCAGGTTCTCTGCATGGGGGAACCAGAGGCCCCATGACTCTTTGTTGAAAGACTGCCAAGTATCCCATGGATTAAGATTTGTAGCCAGGGTGATTGGATCTGCCTGTGCAGAACGAGCTTTGCCTTCTGCTGCCTCCTCTGAAAACTGTGGACATTCAGGTGAAGAGGAAGGAGGTAAGGAGAAAGCAGTGTGTTACATGGAAAAGAATTTAATCCCTTCATTTGCTTGATACTAATAACAGCATCTAGCTGCATTTTTACTTCTTAGAAACCTTGGCTGTGTGCATTGCAGCTGATTTAGTGGAAAATGTCCTAGAGTGTTTTCAGTTTGCCAGTCTTGCCGCTATCAAGCAGTCAGGCCTATACATCAAATACAGCAGGAAAAGCATCAAGGTGGAGTTCAATTTATCCTTTTGTATTTCATGCCACTTCAGAAAGCTGAGCTCAGCAAATTTGAACTCCCAGAGTTTTTAGAGAAATTTCATCTTTTCTAGCTCCTAGGAGCCAGCAGCTGATAATTGAGAAGGAAATATGGGAACTGGAAGGCTGTTCATGATCAGCAGTGAATTTTACAATGACTGGCAGAGAGCAGCTTAGCAAAGCTGTGACTGTGCCAAGAGAATGAAGGAACAGAAAGAGAGGTTATGTGTTTCTGTGGGGTAGATGAATCCCTTTGCCCCACAGTTCCCTGAATGGTTGAAAAACAGTGTTGCCTCTGCACAGTGTCGGTGTCTGGGACAAAGGTCTTCTTGCTGTGTGGATTATCAGCAGTGGCTCGGGGAACAGTGATTTTCAGTAATGAGGGTTAAATGAACAGTTGAGGACTGAATGCAAAGGTCAAAGATAGAAAGAAGATGTGTAAGGCTTTGCTGCCAAGGCGTTGCTTCTCTAGGGTGAGCGGAGATCCTGGGTGGATGCAGGAAGAGGATGCTTCTGGTCAGTACTAGCAGAATGGATGTCAAAGGGCTCTCGCCAGCTAGGGCAGAGTTAAGGCTAGTTTGGGTTTTTTTTTGTGGAGTTCTACATTTATGGGGCAGCAATGCATAGTGACTTGTCTGTTATCACATGCATGAGTGTAGATACAAACACACACAGGAAATAATACTATTGTAGGCAAAAGTGACTTTCTGAGCCCTTTGTTAGCTCACAGGTCCATAATTGAACACTGTGTTAGCCAGGTCAGTAGAGGATAGATACATTTCCCAAGTGCTCATTTTTCTCCCTGTGGGAGAAGGAGGCCACTGGATGTGCACTTAAGTGCTTGTAATATATGACTTCTTGTTGGATCTATGACAGAACTCTCAGGCCTGGTCTGTGTCCTGAAAATGCGGACAGTTTTATTACATGGCAGCCTGAACACTTCAAAGACAACTAGCAGTGTTTCTCCTCTTCTAGCACTGTCCTGCCCCTTCATCCCACACTGCATAAAGCCCTCACACACTGAAAATCCTTCCGATTCATTCTCCCCCAGATACGCTAGAATGGCATCAAGTAGCTAAATCAACTTTTTGTGACTTACGTGGCACAGAGTTGATAATTCATAGAATCACAGAATCACAGAATCCTTGGAGTTGGAAGGGATCTCTGAAAGCCATCTAGTCCAACTGCAGTGAACAGGGACACCGCAGCTAGATCAGGTTGTCAAGGGACTGATCCAGCCTCACCTTAGAAGTCTCCAGGGATGGAGCATCAACTACATCTCTAGGCAACCTGTTCCAGTGCCTCACCACCCTCACTGTAAGAGATTTTTTTTTCACCAGCTGGTCATATGGTCATGTACTTCCTAGGTTACACCTTGCCTGAGCTCTACACTAGGCTTCTTCCCCCTTACCACGGCTTCTGCTTCTGCTCAGCCAGGCCGTAAGCATTCTGGTGATCACCATCACTCCCTCCCTGTCAGCTTCCCCTAAGGTTTTTCCTGCCTTCACGTCAAGGCTTGCATGAGAAGGAAGAGACGGGTGTTCAACCACCCCAAGAGGCAGGACTGAGCCCTATTGTGACCACCAATAGGATCTGAGGGAATGGCTGTGTCAGGAGAAGAGATGAGGAAAAGATTCTTCACCAGAGGGTGATTACGGCCCCAAGCTGCCAGAATTCAAGCAGCATTTGGACAGCACTCTCAGACACAGCGCTTGAATTTTGGGTGGTCCTGTGTGGAGCCAGGTGCTGGACTTGAAGGATCTCGTGAGCCCTTTCCAACTCAGGATATTTTGTAATTCTGTGCTTCTGTCGTGCACCCCAATTCTGAGATAGTAACTGTGCCTCCAGGGCACAGTACCTCATACCTTGAAGAATCAGGCATTGTTTTAAGCTTATGTAGGAGGGAGAAGGACATCAAGGAGGATACAGGGAGAAGGCAGGCAGTTTCTAGGAGGGGAACAGGACTAGTGAGTGGAGCGGGACTTGGCATTCATTCTCTTCCAGGTTTCAGCCAGATGAATGACCTCTTTTTGGAAGAGAGGCCAGAGCAGAGGTAGGACACATGAACAATAAAGATTTTACTGGCAGAGGTGAACATCAGGCTGGAGTTCATGATCCAGCATTGCTCGCTGACCTTATAGCTCCCACAGGAAAGACTGACCAGGCCTGTTTCTCTATCAGTGGACATAATGATAATGGACTGCTGTAATAACACTGCTTTCTCATTCTTCTCACAAGACAGCACAGTCGTTCTGGGTGTTGAGGTTCTATTTTCACTACCATGGTAGGGAAGTAAAAGCTGGATATGTGCAAAAGAGGAGCCAAGTTTAAAAAGTCATCTGCTTAGTAAACCATTTTCATTTTGTTTCTTTCTCTTTCCACAAATTTCTCTCGGATCTTAGTATCTTTTTAATGGAGTTTAAGACTAGGAGGCTGCATTTCTCAAGCAGTAGTCAGAATTTGATTTTATTTTTATTTGATGTTATCTTTTGCATAGGCAACATTTTCAGCTGCACTAAACAAGCATCTTTGAACTCACCCCTTGTTTTTTGCTGCGCTTGTCACAGCAAAAGCATTTATGTTTTATGTCCAGTGTGACAGCAACCATGATAGTATACGTATTGCTGTCTCCAGCCAGTTGGTCTTTGAGTTTGGACTCCAAGCAAGGCTGCAGGTCATGGGGAGCTGCATTCAGCCTCCTCATCACTGCAGAAGTTTGGAGCCAGAAGGGTTGGGCCAAGCACACATCACTGACCCAGTGTGATGGGTGCCATCGTCATGAGTGGTAGATAAGAACTCGAGGGAGGTGTGTACTCAGCACATCACACAGATAAGCTTTGGTGGGTTTCTGTGTAAGCAGGAAAGCTCAACTCACAAATGCTGCAGCTCAAAGTTGCAATTCTTATTGCAAGCAAATAATACTTTATTTAAAACAATGATTAAAAAAAGATTTTGATAGCCTTGATTTGTGGGCGTTTTGAACGTGAGAAGTATTTGGGGAATTTCAGGCCTTAATTTTTAGATGCTGTCCAGGGAAGTGGTGGAGTCACCATCCCTGGAGGTTTTCAAAAAAAAGATGGACGTGGCACTTAGGGACATGGGTTAGTGGGTGTGATGGTGTTGGGTCTGTGGTTGGACTAATGGTTCTCAGTGGTCTTTTCCAGTCTAAATGATTCTATGATTCTATGAATTACAGATGTTTAAAAACTGTAACTATTTTTGCACAGTCATAACTAAGTTTGTATTAATCTGTAAAAAGACAAGCAGCATTTATGCTTCAAAGGTTGTTTTCCTTACGGAGCAGCTTTCCCATTTCCTTCAGTACCCTATCATTTGTGGGTATGGAATGGTACCCCTTTGTGAGCCCCACACATTTCACCTAGCTCTTCTATGGGGCTGCTAACAGAATTCAGGAATTCTGATTCTAACTCAAATTAAACAAAACCTGCAGATTAACCTGTCTCTGTATTACCTTGCTCTGAGAGCACCAATGTGATCCAGCCCCTATGGAGGATGGCACAGTTGTCCCTTCTCGACTGTACTAGAGATGTGCAAACCCTTCTGAGACTGAGGAGCCTCTGAACACGAGTAGAGGCACAACTTTGGATTAGGAGAATCTGAAATACCACATATCAGAGAATGGACAGCAGCTAAGCTGTTGTTTTGAAAATCCGACGTTCAGCATTTGTATCTGTATGAGCTTGCTTATTGGACTGAAATCATACAGTGGGTGTTGAAAAAGGGTAATTCTCAATCCAAAAGAAAAGAACAAGAATAAGGTGGCTTAAAATCATCTCTGGCCTCAGTGGACTTAATGTTGACCAAAGTAATCTATATAACAAACTTTGGATGTGGGGATGCTCCCAAGTTCCAGTAATCTTGTTTCCTGTCCTCTGCAACAGCAGCATTGCCTAAGTTTGTGTTATTTGCTTTGTTCCATCCAACCAAGTTCTAAGTTTTTTTAGCCACAACTGGAAACTTTACATTCCCTTTTATATCATTGTAACTCTTACTATTGTAGCTTTTCTAGGAGGATTCGTGCTGCATTGCATTTCTACCTCCAGTCTGTACAGGCTGTAGATTTTTATTGTACTGAGCTTTAAAGTGGCCATATCCCGCAGCGTCTTACAACTATTGGAAGGTTCAATCATAAAGCTGGATGGTGGGAGGTTATTTCATTTTTCATTTTCCCAAGGACTAAGAAACTTATGGAAAACCTATCTTTTGGAAATGGGATGCTTCCTTTTTGGCCCAGATACTAGTTCTAGGAACATTATGAGCACAGACTGATTTTAAAGGAGATGAAATAGCTGGAGTCAGTAGAAGAACATTGCTGAGTAGTTTATTCCACAGACATAAGGTGTTTTTTAAATAAACTTTTAAGGCATCTAGAAGCCCATTGCAATCAGAATTTCATCTATTATTAACGAGAAGAGTTGAAACTCTCGGGTATTCATTAGGAGAGAAGAGTTGTACAGGCTGCTCAAATATTCTCTCTGTGGTGTTAGAAGTGCAGATACAACAGGCTCCTGCTATCAAAACAGAAACACTGCAACTTTCAGGATAAGATAAACGAATCCAGATAATAGGTTGGTAAATATAAATAGGCCTTTTAAGAAGTAAAAAGCATACCTAAAACACTGCTCTTCGTCTAAATGTGACTAATAATGTAAGCAAGATTTTGAAGAAAAAAAAAAAGCATTTGAAACTCCTTGTTTAAATTAGTAGCACATGTGAAAGCCAACGGATTTTTTTTGGCAGAAGGATTCTGCAGCCCTTGCTGGACACGTGAATTCCAACAGGGAACACGAAGATTGCTTGATTTAGTTTCATATCTGGGTTTTACTGGGAGGGAGGGGAAAGAAGAAAGGAAGAGAAGGGCGTTTTCTTGGATAATACCACGATGAGCAAAACCTGGCTTTGTTGTCTTTCCAAGGACACCAATGACTGTGGCTCCAGGCAACAATGTCTCTTTTCTTCCCATCTTTTTTAAAAGAAAAGGGAAGTGAAGAGCTGTTTGTGTTTTCACTCCCCTCCACCCCTTCCTCAGGGTTTTTCTTCCAGCGTATATTTTGTTATCGAGTTTCAGAGTGTGCTTGCAGCACTGAGTAATACACTGGATAAAGTACCAAACATTTGATATCTTAGAATAACAAATCAGTTGGGAAGGAGCTTTCCTGCTGATGTTGCTTCCATCCATGTTGTACTTACAGGAGAACTGCCAAAATTAAAACAAAGAATTCAGTTTCTTTGGGGTTTAGGTATATACAGTAGATAAGTTACTTGGTAACACTAGTTTTCATAGTCTTTTATGTTTAAGGGAAGCAGTGCTTGGGCTAAGCTCTTAGCTCAAATTATGAAGCAATTAATACATAAAAACAGTGCTGGTTTTGGTTCAAAACACAAATTTTAAAAAGCTATCTGTGAGAACATAATGTGAGCAAAATGCCCATTTTTCTTACAGCATCTCTCGAACAGCAAGGCCAGAAGGTTTGGGCTGATGCTTCTTTTGGGTTGGTGGTGACTCACAGAGCACTAGTGTTCTTTTGCAATTTAATGAAAAAGTAGAATATGTTTGAAAATGTTCTAGTTAGATCATAGAATCACAGATTGGCTTGAGTTGGGAGGCACCTCAAAGATCATCCAGTTCCATCCTCCTTCTGTGAGCAGAGTTGCCAATAATGAGGAGCATCCAAAAGTTTGTTCTGTTTGTGGCAGGCTTTTCTGGTTTATTGTGAGCAGCAGTTTGGACTTGACAATACAGGAGAACACCATCTTATGTCTGCAGAGGATTCTAAGGAACAGACCATGTTACACGTAGCACCATGAACATAGTAAGTGAATGCAGGGGATAAATCTAACAGAAGAAACCAGTGCTGGCATGCAGCAGGGTAGGGAATACTATAAACCAGTAATCTCACTCTTCCTTTTGCAGTCATCATTGCTGAAGGAGACAGTAAAGCAAGGTCTGTAGGAGGATGAGACAGTTTTCTGTGAGGTTCCTCCATGTGTAGTAGCAGTGTGAAACAGCCCATCGGTGCTTGCTTGGAAAGCTTTGGTGATGCAGTGTTCTAATCAGAACTGGAAAGCAACAAGGACTTGACCAAATGAGACACTCGTGGGGCTGCCTGTGAGAGGCTATGAAAGCGAAAATAAGCCACTGTATTTGACATAGTGGGCAAGAAGAAGCAAAAGGCAAGAGCATGGAAGGGACGGTTACAGCCAGAGTCTGGGAAAATGATCATTACAGAGACATTGCAAATGGATTATCAACAGGAGGAAATTGCCCTGTCAAGATAAGAGGAAATGGTATTTTGTAATCGTAACATGAGATGAGAATCTAGATGTGGGTGGCCAGGAAATGCTCTATCTTACAGATGCTCATTTCAAAGCACCTCTTAGAATTAAACACAGCTAGAATATGAGGACACAGAGTAATGCCCAGATTCAAGGATACTGCTGAGTTACCAGCCTAAATGCCACTCAGAGTAAGGATACTTCTCTCACCAGCCAACGTGTAGGGTAGGCAAATGAATCTGTGCTGAAGAAGGTTGTAAAATTATTTCTGGCAAATACGTGGAGTGAAAGGAAGAGATCCTCTGAGTCCTGAACATGAGGCCAGAAGGATCTTCAGGAGAGCACCCTGAAAGAACAAGGCGTGATGATGGAGCCTTGGATGCAGGGGGAGAATCAGCTAGCAAAAAGAGTAATGTGAATGAATGTATTTCTAAATTTGTTGTGTAGGAACTTCAGTGTCCCTCCTGGTTTTCCTGCAGGGCTGCTTGGCAGGATCCACTTAGGCAGGGCAATGAAGTCAGCTGTTGCTTTTCAGCAGAGGGCTGGGGCAGGAGTTGCCAAGAGACAAGCATAAGGCATGCAGTCAAAATGCTTTCCCTGGAATATGTCTGCATGCCTGGGGTGTCAGTCTTACCTTTGATACTGTAAAAAAGCCAACGGTGTAACTGGAAGAGATATTTAAAACCAAAGCTAAGGTTCACTACAATTAAGATATGGCACAGAACACTTGTATGGTGAATGGTAACGTGTGTAAATGTAAAAACAGCAGAGAAATCAAGAGCTGAAGGGATTACATAGAAAATATAAGGTAGTAAAGAGCCTGGATTACCTCTTAAACAGCAAACACGATGATAGAATAATTTCTTTGCTTATTGGAGAGAAATCTACAGTTCTTCCACAAGACTGTTTTGTTGGACCACTGAGTTGTCTTCTGAGTGCTTTGTACTCTTCTGGGTTGGGATGGAACAACACGATGTGGTAGAAGCAATATTGTCCAGCACAGACCATTAGCAGAGTGAGCTTTTGACCTGATGTGAAAGTAATGCTGGTGGACGTGCCCAGCAGCCTCAAGAGTTTGTCATCTTGCAGCCTCTGCAGCACAACCTCACAAAGTCCTTAAAGAAAGGCTCATGCTTCAGAGTGTTCTAAAAATTAATCTTAGTTTTTAGAATTTAGAATCTTATTTGTTGTAACGCAACTATTCTTATTTCATGTAACATGGCCACTGTTACTGGGGAAGGAAAGTGCCAAATCCTACCCATTCTGAGTAAGCCAAGAGAGTAACTGTGGGAGCAGCATGTTAGTTGTCACTGAATGTTATAACTCTCTATGGAAAAAGCAAATAGTCCAGGTAGTCTCACAGGAGATGAAGAGCTGAAACCAGATATCAGGGTGGTTTGGTTTTTTTTTTTCCTCTTAACCAAAAGAAATGAGTATGGTTGGGAGTATCGTACGTGTTGTAGGTACGGTTATACCTGAGGTAGTTTTCCCATGATTCAGCAGTGTGGGTTTGTCTGTCCTTCCAGGCATGAATAACCGTGAAGTCTTGGAGCAAGTGGAACGCGGTTATCGGATGCCATGTCCTCAAGACTGTCCCATCTCCTTGCACGAGCTTATGATCCACTGCTGGAAAAAAGACCCAGAGGAGCGTCCAACTTTTGAATATTTGCAGGGTTTTCTCGAAGACTACTTTACTGCAACAGAACCCCAGTACCAGCCTGGTGACAACCTGTAACTCCCTGGTCTCCACACACTGTCACGAATTGCCAGGTGTCCCTCAGCCCTGTCTCACCTGCCCTTCAGCGTCCAGCTCCATGATTGGCTTCCAGGAGTGCAGCAGCATCTCTCAGCACTGCTGGGCAAAGAGGGGCTGGAGCTGGGAACTCGAGCAGCCCTCGCCTGTGACCACTTGTCCTAATAATCTGAATGTCCTGGATGAAAAGGAGAAAAACACTCGTTTTTTCTTAATCAAAGACTCCTAAACTGCATTATATTGATGTTATGTAAACTGCAAAACCTCTGTTCATTGTAAATAGTAACTCAGTGCCAATAACTGATCCTAGTGCTTTCCTTTTTTTAAAACGCAAAACCTATGTGATTTTAACTAGTCTTCTCCTGACCCGACTAAAAGTATTATTTTCCAGAAGTGGCCTCTTTGTCTAAAACATTTTTTTTCATGTTTTAACAAAAAAAAAAAAAAAAAATCAGGACAGGTGTTTGGTTTTTTGCTTTTTTATATATAAAATATATATAATATATATACATACGTGTACATACCGTATATGGGTGCTGCTGCAGAGGAAGCTCATTTTGAACTGAATGAATCCTGCTGCAGCAGTACCCAGAAAATGATAATTTTACTGCAGACATGAAAACACTGGTGAGATTGTGGAAGCCAGTGGTCTAATTTTTGGCTTTTGCCAAGCATGATTTTTTTAAATTGGATTGCACTTTTTGTTTATGATTATGTACCTGTAGATGGTTGTAACTTTGCTCTTTCAGGAATCATGTGCTGTATTTACAGTAATGTTTCCGATGTTTAACAAGTGTGTGATGATTTGTTCTTGAAACTAAAATGAACCTATTTAAAGCAAGAAAACTACAGCATCACCGTTGGAACTGGAAAATGGAAACTGCGAGGACTTCTTGTATCAGAACGTGTATACTGAAACGTTTCAAAAAGATTTATTAAACCGTGTAACCACATTCAGATGGTCTTAAAATCATAGCATCTTAGCCATGTCCAATGCTAAACTGTTGGTCACGCAACTAGGATTCTTCTGTTTTACGTGTAACATTTTTCCATTGTAAAATAAGTGTGTTCAGTGTCCTGTACTGCTAATGAAAGTACTTTCTCTGTGTCTGCAAGTTCTCCAGTGGAATTACTATGCACTTCTTTACATTTCATGGGAGATGCACAGAACAAAGTATTACCTTTTCAGTTGTCTGTACCAGCCTTGAATTACTTACGTTTAACCAAAAAAAAAAAAAAAAAAAAAAAAAAAAAAAAATTCCTTTCTATTTCTATTGAGTTTTTAATACTGAGTTGCAAATTTTAAAGTCTTAATTACATTTTGTTATGATTTATTTGCAAGTTTACATTTTAAAACTGTTTAACTTTCTTAATTTAGTAATTAAAAAAAAAAAAGAGCATTTTACATTTGGACAGTTGTTCATTTGTTTAAACTGTGGAGATGACGGTGGAGAGGAGATGAGAACGTTTCAAGAAGGGCAGTCGTGCTCTTTGGGGCTTCGCATTTGCTAGGAGTGTGCAGGTCTATGGGGCATCGTTTTCAGAATTCTGAAGTCAGTATGTTTGTAAGCAGCTGGAGTTCAACTGTAAGGAAGGTGGTTGAGTGCACAGCTGGTCTCTCCTCTGTTCTGCAGAAGAATTTCTTCTTCGATAATTCCTTTGCTTTTAATATGAATACATTTGCAAGTGTTGCAGGAAAAAGAAATCTACGCCTTGTATTGTCGTTGCTCTAAAATATTGCAGCCAAGTAAGACTTCATGACAGTTTAAGCATTTTTTTAATTATTTAATAATTAGGTTGTGGATTTGTAGCCTGAATAGCCACACGTTTTCTAAAAAGAACTTTTTTTTTTTGGTTCCTAACACGATGATGAATTGAGATTTGGAGAAAACACTGTCATCGTTGTTTTCCTATTTTCTATATAAAGCAGCGATTGCAAATCCTCTTGCAAAAAGAGTTCTGCACTCAGCCTTTCTCCAAGTGTGACTTTACATGGCAATGTTGCTTGTTACCAGACTTCCATGATAAACTGGTTACCGTTTTACGTGTAGAGTCTATAAGTACCGTTATGTACATGCTATATTCAATGTTTCTGTACCTGTAGCTGTGGAACACTGAAGAGGCCATAATTCTTGTTGGACTTTTTAAAATCAGTCTCCTCTTAATACTTACAAGGTGAGTTGTGGTCCTTTTTCCCACAGCTAGCCCCTGCCTTAAAGCATCACCCACTGCTCTAGGCTCTCTGCAGCAGCTCAGCTGGCTGGTGAAGCCAAAACGTCGTGAACCCAGACAAGGGTGGCAAAGCACGGTCATTCTTCCAAGCTCTATAGCAGATGGGATGAGGCTAAAACACTTGGAATTTTGCCTGTGTTTCTCGTTGGAAGTAAGACTGAGATGGGGAGTCATTGGGATTTTATGGCCTTTAATTCTAATTCTCGAGTTTGCGGTTCCTCATGTCACATTCAGTCTGTGAGTACCTGCCTGCAGCCGTGTGCAGACTGCTGCTACTATTGGGTGGCAGATCCAGACCATTTCTCATCGGTAGCTCTTCTGCTTCTTTTTCTTAATGTTGGGAGTTTTGTTGTTTGGGTTTTTTAATCTCTCAAATAAAAACATTAGTAAAATTTACACAAGGTTGTTAGCATTTTTGCTATAAATTAATAAGATCGTTTCCTTAGCCACTGTGTATACACCACACATAGCTGTGTGGTGACTGTAGAAGTAGAAAATATCTAGAAGTATCCTCTTCTCTCCAATAATTGTGTTTAACATAAGGCTAAATAAATCACAGCCAGGTGAAGACGGTTGGCCAAAAGCTCCGTGCAGCAGCAAGCCTGACTCCAAACCTCCACGAAGAGTTGACCCACCGACAGCTGGGAGGAGTCTGGGGGTGATCCCTATCTCCGGGTGGATTCATCTCATGCCAGTCCCATGTGAAATGACAAGCAGAGATGCTACAATGCCACAAAAGGGACAATTGCTACAATTAATGCTTGTTAACGTATTTCTGTGGGAAGGAAATAATGGGAGACTTTGGTGGATCCTCCGAAAGATCCAAAGTTTGTCAAAGGCACTGACATGATCTTTGGCTTCTGCAAAAGGTATTCAACTTAGTTCTATGTGACGCTCTGACTTTGGTTTAATTACCACTGTAGAAAATAAATACAAAGTAAATACAAAACGGAAAACTGATTAACTGCTAACATCACAAAAGTAATCCCATGTGGAAAATCCGTCTACAGTGCAAGCACTCCTCATGAAGTCTGTGTGATGGAAAGAACTCATGCTCACCACGAGGGCAGAGTGCTGCTTGTCTTTGACCTTGCCACAGAACTTGGAGGTGAGTGGGAAGTTGGTCAGATTTATGTGGATGAGGACCATCCATTTCTCAGATGCTCAAATAAAGAATGCAGCATGCTAGTGATTGCTACCATATTGCACCCTGAGGGCCTAAGGGCCTCATGTGAAGCTGAGCCCAATATGCAAGAGCTATTAGTGTATATACAGTAGCTCCTCTTCTAATGCGAGACAATATTCATCCATCAAAGGCGGCTTTTCCTGTCTAATGGGAAATCACCACCAGCAGTGCAGACAAAAGCATATTTATTTTCTCAAATCATGTCAGTTTGAGGGTCTGTCAGTCTTTCAAGAATAATTGAAGTCTGTTTGCAGCTCAGAAATCTCATTGTGTTCTGCCATCTCAGTAGCAGTGTCATTATAATTTCCTGTGACTCACACACTGAAGGGGCTTCTGTGAGTCAGGGCAGTCAGTGTTCCCTGCCACCTTCACTGAAGGAGGGGAAGCTTTAAGTTTGGATTTTCCTGCACAGTCCAAAAGAAAACCCACATTCTATCAGCAGAAAAGGAAAAGGGCCCCTGGCCAGGCTGCCACCCACACAGAACATGAAGCTCTGCCTCCCAGGCCATTGACTTGCCAGGAGCAGCTCTGATAGCTGAAACCAAGGTGCAGTCTGAACATGAGGGAAGTGCCAGCTTCGCTTCTGTCTGTGAGATGTTTTCTGTTAATGTTTTCTGTTAATGTTTAATACAAGGTGTTCTTGTGTGTATATATCAAAATGCAATTCACACGCAACATCCATACCTACACAAACACCAGTTCATCTCCTTGTATCTCCCCCCGTAGCAGCACACGTAACAAAAACGCATTTGTAAAACAGGGCGTGAGTGCATTAGAGGACAGAATGGTGTTAATAATGAAAGAGCTTCTCTTGTTGGCTTTCTTTTTTCCTCTTTGCTGGCTCCTACTCCTTGCACAGGCCAGGAGAGGGGCGGTGAGCACAGCCCTGCAGTGTTTGGGGCCTGCAGTCATGGCACAGAGGCTCTGTGGCTGATTCCCAAGTCAGGGAGGAAAAACCTTTCTCCCAAGGGCACGGCTGCAATGTGGGGCCTGCAGAAGGCCAATAGGGACAGGAGTGCCCTGCTGGGATGCACAGCATTCCATGTGGGCTGTACCTTGTGTGGTTTATGGGGAGAGCCAGAGGTCTCAGCACCAACTGTGCTGGTGGCACCTGTGTTCCATTGTGGGCCATCAGATGACAGCAGAGCAGTGAGCTCGGGCTGCAGGTGCTTTTACACAACGTAAACAACTGATGAAGGGAGAGGGAGTAGCCTGTATCTAAGATAGTGGGCAAAATGCCCCGGGAGCTGTGTGTCTGTGTCTCAAGGGAAGGCATTATGCCTACCCACTTCAGGCAGGTGGGAGCCGGATTGTTCTGCTCATTGTTGGGAATAACTCAGCATTAAGCTCCATAAATGGCTACAAGGGCAAAGAGCACTGATATGAGATTCTCCTCCTTCCTCCCTGGCTGGGCTGCAGCTTGCCGAAGGCGCTGGGCCGCTCTTCTGTACATCAGCATTTGTTGCTGAGCCCCTGCACTCAGAGCACTGTAAAATGTATGGGGCTGCTGGTGGTCCCATCTTCACACCAATCCCTGAGGCTGGAGGGGGTGGATTTTCTTTCAACGAAGAAAAAAAAAAAAAAAAAAAAAAAAAAAAAAAAAAAAAAAAAAAAAAACAAAAAAAAAAAAAAAAAAAAAAAAAAAAAAAAAAAAAAAAAAAAAAAAGCAGGGAAGGTTTTTGATCAGGCTGTAGCTTTATCTGCTTATTCTGGGGTTCACTCTGCCCAAAACCTTGGCACCGCTGACTCAGTATTCACACCCGCAATGCTCTGGGCTGCCTTCCAGCCCCATCACACCTCAGGATTTCCCAGAAGTTGTCCAGGAAGGCTCCCTCCTGCTGGAAAACGGATGCAGCAGTGCCCTTTTGACTCACGCAACATCTGCACTCCTTGCTGATGGCCGTGGCCTGGGCACAATCAGGTGGAGCCAAAAATAGGTGTTCAGCCAGAAGTCAAGGGGGTGCTAACTCCTGGTCTGCTAAAAAACGTAACAAGCCACATTGGGATTTGATTTATATTCTAAAGGCAGAGGCTGAGGTACGTTTGATCATCTGAGAACTAAAGTATGCCCTCAATTCCCATGCCTCCCATGTGCAGCCAGGCCTCCAGTGAGCTTTGTACATGACCTCACATACATCCCATGTATCAAACACACACCGCATCCTGAACATTTGCATATGGCACATGTCTTCTGTTCCACTTGGGTGGCCGTACCCTCCTGCCTCTAACTCCATCGCTCACCCCACAGCTCCTCATGTACTACTCTGGGTGTGTGTTGCTGAAGAAGTACGTCCTCTGGTCTTGTGGAGAGTGGGAGCTCTGTTAATTGTCAAATGTCGAGTGGGTAATAATCAATGGATGCCTGATTGGAAGCAACAGGGAATAAAATAGGTATTACTTAGCTCCTGCTCTTAATTAAGGGGATACGGAATGCTGTGGGGAAAATCTTAACAAATGGCAGGAGGGTTTTGTCATTATGCAAGGTTTAATTAGAAGCAGTGCATAAGCTCGTGGAGGTGCTTATTTCTCCCCTTTCAGGTGTCTCTCCAGGGCGTGACTAGAAGATGCCAAAGCAAAAGCCTAAAAAAAAGTGGAAAATGTTTGTGCAGGCGCATGGACACTGCTACACAGCAGGAAATGGAAGCAAACCCCTTCACAGTGCAACAGCAGTGAGGATCTGGCCAATTGAGGTTGCAGTGTGCCTTACACCACAGCAGGTGGAATGAAACGCTCATTATGATGTCTCCAGATTAACTCACATCACTAATGTGAAAAGCTGAGCAATGTGGAGTGCTTTACTCCAAACAGTGAATCATTTGGGAACAAAAGCATTTATGATGAAATTAATTCTATGGCTATGTAAATGCAGTAGAAGACGCAAGAAGCAGCACCAGACACTGGCGTTGTCTTCCTGATCAAAAATAGCAATACTACTCCTAAAGGACAAGCAACTGCTTTTTATAAACAACAGCTCAGGGTGCTGTTGCCAATGAAAACAATCCAACCTGCATTTGAATATTAATCTGTACCCAATATGACACAGCACATTCTGCTCTTAAACAGTGTGCAGATGAGATACTAACTCTAAAGCATTCCGAGTTTGAGCCAGTGCTCTGTGAAGATAGTAGGCAGACTTCAGAACTACAAAACAGCCTTCAGAATACAATTACGATGGCCTGGGTTTGGGGAGTGGGACAGGCTTTTCTGAGATAAATTCTGAGATAAACTTAGACAAGTTTTCTAAGTTTCCTAACCCAAAAGTAGTCAATTGCTTCTACAACTCTGTGGAAGAGTGTTTAGGTGGACCTCGGCTTTGCTCTTAAACCTGCTCAGCAGTATTGTTATCAATTAGCAGTCTTCCATGCGTTTTGTGGTTTTTTTTCTCTTTTTTTCAGACTTCTAAGAAAGTACCTGAAGCACAAGTGAAAGGAAGTACTCCATGTGAAAAAAGGAGGGTGAGAAGAGACCTCATCGCTCTTCCACAACTATGCAAAAGGAAGTGATAGCAAGGTGGGAGTCAGTGTCTTTTCTCAGGTGACAAGTTATAGGATGAAAGAAACAAATTCCAGTTGCACCAGAGGAGGTTTACATTGGATATCAGGAATGACTTCTGCACAGAAAGGGTGGTTAGGCATTGGAATGGATTGCCCAGGGAAGTGGTGGGGTCACCATCCCTGAAGGTGCTTAAGAGACACGAGGATGTGGTGCTGAGGGATATGGTGACTGAACTTGATCTTTGGGGTCTTTTCCAACCAAAATGATTCTTTGATTGTAGGTACCTGCTGATTTCTGGGGGTTAGTAAATTAAAGAAGGAGCAGAGCTGGTCCTTCGGTTGCTGCTGCTGGCACTGTGAGGTCTGTAGGTCTGATTTCTGGACTCACATGTCTGTACACACGTGAGGACCAGATTTCACAGCCTATCCCCCAGACATCACATCCAGAAGAACAAGGCTGCTCTTGCTCCCTTCTTTGGGCCACAAATACCACTTCAAATAAAGATACATAGATGGCAATTTCCATGGGGAAATAACCCTAGGAGAATGCTGATTCAGATAGCACTAAATCCTAGGGGCATTTCTAGGTGGCCAAATGCATATGGAGCACATAAAGCTACTGGTGAGGGTTTAACGAAAGGCCACCAAGATACTGAAAAGACTGGAGAGATCTAGGACTGTTCAGCATGGAGGAGAGGAGGCTCAGGAGGATCTCATCAATGTACAAATATCTGAGGGAACAGTGCAAAGAAGACATAGCTAAGCCTTTTCAGAGGTGCCCAGTGCCAGGGCAAGGGGCAATGGAACTGGAACACAGGAGGTTCTCTCTGAACACCAGGCAGCCCTGTGCTGTATGGGTGATGGAGCACTGGCACAGGCTTCTCAGAGGCTGCAGTCTCCTCCTCAGGGATCTCCAAAAGCTGGACGTGGGCCGCGGCACCCTGCTCTAGGTGTTCCTGCTTGGACAGAGGTTGGAGCAGATGGATCCAGGGGTCTCTGTCAGCCTCAATCAGTCTGTGTTTCTGTAGCATGGTATCCAGGGTATAAACAGTGGAGAATGAGAGAGGCTTGTCCATAGCTGTTGCCAGAATAGGAGGTAGAAGTGTTTGATGGTACTGTGTGTGTAGGTAGAGATGTTTGATGGCAGCACAACACAGTCCTTTACAAACAGATCCCGCCAGCAATACAGGGCAGACCGCTGTTCAAGGCCCTGCTTTTAGCACTGGTGCAGCCACAGGGTGCAAGCTGCAGTGCAGTTGCCATGAGGCTGATGGGAAGCCAAATTTGGTGCGACTCAGGGCTGGGCCATTCCTCCTTAGGCCCTGAGCCCTGCTCGGGCAGTGCTCCCCACCAGGGCCCAGTTCTGTGGGCAGCAAAGGATGCATATCCCTGGTTGTGTTAAAGCAGGAGCGCTGACACCCATCTGTGGGATGATGCTGTTAACTGAGTGTTCTCTGGCTTCAGCCCAGAAGCATACTGTTGGATGACCCCAAAGGAAAGGTGGATATCCTCAGCAGAGGAGGAAGGAAAGGAGTTAGACAGAGGGCCGGGCTGAGATCCTGAGGTCTCTGAGAAGAAGGTAAGCCCCGGGGAGCACCACTGCATACATAACCATGCTTAGCATTCAGCATGGGCCTGCTCCCAGCCATCTAAACGTTCCCAAAGAAATCTCTCATGAGGAAATAAGTGTATGGGCTTCAGCCTGCAGCCATGAGCAGGGCTTGAGGGCGGTGTGTCTCCGTAGGGGGGATCCTCGTGCCAGGGAATGGGTGCAGGAGCAAGAAGCACTGCCTGGACTCAAGGAATGTGATTTAGATGTGTGCAGGTCAGCCGGTCAAGCGCAAAGCCAGCAGCCGCCTGAAGCTGCACAGCTGCAGCCAAGACAGACTCCTCCTAGAGCTAAACTAAGATGTAGGGTAAAGATCAGGAGCAGCTCCGGGCAGAGAGGGCAGTGGAGCAGGTAGGTCAGCGAGGCGGTGCAGGTGGACACACAGCTGCATCCTGTGGCAGCAGCCGAGGAATGGCCGCCAGTGCTGCCTCACCCAGCGCTTGGAGCAGTGGGAAGGCATCAGGAGGAAAGCTTGGAAGTGACTAAAAGTCAAACTTTAGGAAAAAAAAAAAAAAAAAGACGCTAAATTTTTCGTTGTTGTTGTTCTTTATGTAGTTCGTTATCGTCACGGTGTGATTTTCTTTGGTAGGCTGAATCACCGTTGTTGTAATGCTTGGGTCTGACGGTAAGTAACAGAGGATTAATAAAAAACAAAACACACAAAAAACACGGCGGCTTTTCCAGTGAGACACACTGCTTAGGACTCACAGCGGGTTTCCCCTACAGCTGTTTCTCTGCTCCCGCAGAGCAGCCCGGCCTCCCACGGCAGGGAGACGCGCACGGGCATTCGGAGAGCGTGAAGCCCAGCGCGTGGCTCCTCCACGCCGCTCCACTCCCCCGCGGCGGCTGCCGACGAAGCTCCCCATTCCGCGTTGTGATTTGCATGCCTCCTCCACTTCCTGCTGCAGAGCCAGTTCTGCAGCCTACCTGGGAGAGGAAGGGAGGCTGTCGTAAAAGGAGGAAAAAAAAAAACGGCCGAGGAGGGAGAGCCGGGTGTACGCAGAGCCCGCAGGATTCGCTCCAGCCCTGTCCCCTTCCCGCTGAGCTCAGGGCGAGCGTCCCTCAGCCCAAGGTAAGGAGTGCTGAAGACGCTGCGCTTCTCGGTCCCTGCCCGCAATGAGCTGCTGACCCAC